GACGACGCGGGGCTTCTGTCCGCGCTCGCGGACGCGGTCGGCGTCTTCTACAACCACTCCGGCGACGCGGCGTGCTTCGATATCCGCGCCGGCGTGAACGAAGACTCGCGGCGCGACGGCGACGGGTGGGACTGGCAGTTCTGCACCGAGCAATTCATGCCGTCGTCGAGGGACGGCGAGCGGGACATGTTCTGGAAACAGCCGTGGAACGAGTCCGAGCAGATCGCGCGCTGCGAGAAGCGATGGGGCGTGACCCCGAGAGTCGGGTGGGCGACCACGCAGTTCGGGGGACGGCGCCTGAGCGACGCGTCCAGGATCGCGTGGTCCAACGGCGACCTCGACCCGTGGTCGCGTCTCGGCGTGAACGCGAACGTCTCCGACTCGTTGGTCGCGGTGAGACTGGTCCCCATACGACCCCGGACGCGATGTGAACGCCGTTCCTTAAGGAGTTGGACGTTCCCCGTCGTCGACCGTTCTTCGCCCGCGCTTCACTTTCAACGAACGTTCGATCGCGTCGGTCCCTTTCAACCCCCCTTTCGACTGATGCGCCGCGTCGCCCGTTTCGTCGTCAGGTTCCCGTTCGCGGCGGCGCGCATCACTTGGACTTCATGTGGAGCCACCCTGACGACATCGAGAGCGTGAAACGAGCGCGCGCGATGGAGGGTAGGCTCATCGCGGAGTGGATCGACATCGCGCGGCGCGAGGGCGGCGAGGCGAAGACGAAGACGAAGACGAGCGGAGAAGAAGAAGAAGAAGAAGAAGAAGAAGAAGAAGAGAGATTGATTTTTTTTTCACAGTAGGCGTATGTAGTTCTGTTCTTGCACCGACCGCCGCGCGACCTCGGCCTCCTTCGGCCTCCTTCGCGCGCTTCCTTCGTCGCTTCATCGCGCAGCCCGTCGATTATTAACTCCCGTACGAAGGGTCCGAGGAGTCGTACGCGTATTTCGACTTCCACGGCGGCCAATCGTAATTCACCGCGAGGATGGACGGGAGCTCGGTCGGTGGGCCGCCCGGGAGGTGCCTCGACTCGTTCGGCGCGCACAGGGTGAAGTACACGTGCCCGTCATCTCGCACGCGCGGGCACATCTTGATCGCGAACACGGAGCCGAGCACTGTTCCGCACGCGACCAAGAAGAAGAAGATGGTCATCGTGAGGTAGACCCAGAACCGGTACGAAAACAGCCGCCAGTTTTTCAATCCGCCGGTGACCGTATTCGCGTATTCCTTCTCCGCGCGCATAAACGTCCGCGTGAAGTCGACGCCGTGGAACTTGTACTGCGCGAACATCGTGACGAACGATAGGCCGACCTCGATCGCGACGAGCTTCAGGCACTGCGACGCGAGCTCGTCGTAGTCCGTCGTGCGCGTCGCGCCGTCGTCGAGCGTCGGCGTCGATTGGAGATTCATCACCGCCATGAGCGGCGTCAGAAAAGCGATCGCCGCGAGCTCGCTGAAGACGTTCCCGAGGCACGACACCGCGTGCAACTCCTCGGACTTGTCGCTCGCGAGGTACGCGTCCGCGGTCGTGGTCCCGAGCACGAGCTTGCTGAAGTACGCGTCGCGGTGCTTGATCGTGCTGTTCAGCATGAGCTCGTTGAGGGAGATGATGAGCTGCAGGGTGATGACGTCCGTCTTGCCGTCGTTGGTGATCACGAAGAGGAGGAGGCGCGAGAAGACAGCCTGGTTGATGATCGGTCCCATGAACATCGGGGTGTTTAATCCCGCGCCCGGGGTCGGGCTCATCATCGCGCAGTGCCTGTGCGCAGCCTTCAGCGACTCCCACAGGATGGGGTCGAACAAGAAGCGGACGACGAGTTTCATCGCGAACGCGTATTGCCCCGTCGCCGTGGACACGTTGGAGATGGCCATGATGTACGCCATCGCGGACATGCCCTGGTACGTGAAGATGAAGTAGATGAAGTTCATGTCGCGAGTCTCGTACGCGGCCCAGACGGCGATGAAGCTCGCCAACCACCCGGCGAAGGAGATGGACCACGACCAGAGGTGGCGGTATCCCGTGGCGGAGTAGTCGATCAACGGGACGAGGAAATATATCGCCGCCAACGCTAAGTATAGCTTCGTTGGCCACCGTCGCGTCTTCCGCTGGAGGTTCCACGTGAACATGTGCATGAAGAAGATGTTGTCCGAGCTCGTCGAGGACCACATGCGCACCATGCGCACGACGTAGACGCTGAACGCGCCGAGGGATTCCATCGGCTTAAACGCGTCCGCGGTGTAGTTTGGGGTGTAACAGCGCATCCATCGTCGCGTGATCTCCGTCTGTCCGTGCGTCTCGAAGACGTCGCGCGTGAGCCCGCGCGAGCACTCGCGCGTCGCGGAGTACACGACGAGGTATAAGACGCTCGTCACCGCGAGCGCGAACAGGAGGATGTACTTCATGTGCGACCACCACATCTGGATCGTGGGGACGAGCGCGGACGGTTTAGGATGGAACATCGCGTCGGGGGCGGACGCGGTGCACGACACGGCGGCATCATCCTCTTCGGGCGCGTCCTCGAAGTCGCGCGCGAGGTGGCGGTTCGTCACGAAGACGTCCGCGTCCTTCGCGCGCGACTTGCGCGGCACGCACGTCGTGAACGGCGGCATCGCGATGCGGGGAAGAGGTCCTGCGTGCGCGGCGTCGCGGCGCGCGGACGCGAGTGCGGATCTCGCGCGATGCTGCCAATTCGAGACGACTCGAACCGGCGCGGCGCGCGGTTCCCCGAACGACGAACCGTCGCGTCGTTCCGTCCCTTTTCGGCCGCGGCGGGGTCCGGGGTCGCCGCCGCCGCGTCGGAACGATCTCTGATCTCCTACGCAATCGCTAGCTACTACGCAACACAACTCGGGCTACTCGACGCGACGCCACCCCGCGCGCGGCGAGTCGCGACGCGGCAGACGGCGACGACGACCGAAGAACGCGCCGAGCGTCCGATCGATCCGATCCATCTCCGCCGCCGCCGACGACCTCTCTCGCCCACCCGTCCCCCAACCCCCGTCACGCGTGCGACGGAAACACGTGGAAGAAGTGGTACACCTCCTCTCTGTCCCGCACCCCCACCAGCGTGTCGCACGTCTCGCACTTCACCTCGTGGTACGGCCCGTCCTCGTCCGGCACGTCCAGCTGTCCCTCCGAGCCGCGCAGCTCCGTCGTCGCGTCGGTGACGACGCAGTTTTGCACGAACATGGCGCGAAACTGTTCGTCGCTGCGCGCGTGTTTCTGGCAGTCGATGGTGACGATCTCGAGGCAGCCCGGGCAGCTCAGGATCGCGTCGGACTGGCGGCCTCCGCGCTGTTTGTCCGCCCACTTCTGGTCCAGGTCGTCGAGGTCGTCGCCGTACAGACCGTCGTCGTCGTTCAGGTCGTCCACGGCGTCCGGGATGGAAAATTTCACGCGCTTCTTCTTCTGTTTCTTCTTCTTTCGCGGATCGCCGTCGCCGTCTCCGTCTTCTCCCGCTTTCTCCGCGTCCTTCGCGGCGCCCTCCTCGCCCGCGCCGGCCACCTTCTCCTCGAGCTTCGCCTTCGCGGCCGCGCGCGCGGCGTCTTTCTTCTTCTTCCCGCGCCACGACTCGTCGTCGAAGTCGTCGCTGTCGTACGATCCGCTCGAGTCGGAATCGTCCCCTTCCGAGTCCGAGAGCCACCACCTCGCGCCGCCGTCGAGGTTCTGCGGGCCCCCGAACTCAGCCTCGAACGCGTCCGCTCTCCGCTCGCGCCAGCTCTTGAGCGGCGGCTTCTTCGCGTCGTCCGGAGGATCCGCCGCGGGAGGATCCGCCGCGGGCGCGGGCGGATCCGCGGCCGCGGGCTCGATCTCCATCGCGCGCGTCGTCGTTGTGAATCTCAGTTCATCATCAGTTCGTCGCGATCTCGGAAGCTGAGTGTGTCTGAGTGCCCATTTTTCGTTAAGGTTACTACGCTCGCTACCCCGCGTCGCCGCGCCGCGTCGCCTCCCACGCGCACGAGCACGCGAAGAACGCGCCAAAGACCGACGCGTGCGCGCGCGCGTCGAACCCGCGGCCGCACGTCGTCAGCACCGCGGAGTAGATCGCCACCGTCCGCCGCGCCGCCTTCGAGACCGCCTCCCGCGCGAACCCGAACGTCCCCTCCCGGGGGGTCCGACGCCGGGTCTCCCCCCGCGCGTCGACGACGCGCTCCGCGCTCAGCCCGAGCCCGTTCACGAGCCCCCAAATCAACCAGTGCGTCTGGAACCCGTGGAAAGACGTCGAGAACGCCACGACGGCGACGACCGCGAGGTGCCCGCCGCCGAGCGGCTGGAACACGGAGGCGTAAAAAAACTGAAACAGAGACGCGTGAAACACGCTCCAGTGCCTGCGGAACGATTCGCACGCGTCCAGCCAGAACACCGGGGTGTCGTGCGGGACGTCGCGCGCGTCGTCGACGAACGACGCGAGCGCCCAAGGAAGCGCGAAGACCACGTGCGACGTCGCCCACGTCATCGTGAGGTACGTCACGACGTGAGCGAACAGTCGGAGAAACCCGAGGCTCCGCGTCCAAAGCGATTGTCGGGGTGGAGTTCAAAGGCGTCAGATGGAGTTGAAAGGCGTCGAGGGCGGGGATTGAAAGCGAGGGGTGGGAGCAGAGAATCGCCGGGAAAAGTCCTTAAGGATCGGCGTTCACCACGCGGACGCTGTCGTATGGGGACCAGTGTATAGAACACACCTCCGCGTCCACGCCGCCGCGGTCTCGGCGCCGCCCTCGAACACCCTCGCGCCGTGGAACACCGCGGAGGGGTAGTACCCGTGCTGCATGGACGCCTCCGCGGCGACGCACCAGGCGAAGATATGCGCGAGGGACGCGAGGAGTCGTCGGAGCCGAGCGCGACGCGCGCCGCCGCGCCTTTCGCGTCGTCGTCGCGCGTCCGTCGTCGGAGGCGATGAGGGTCGTTCTATACGAGCGAATGTCGGGGTGGAGTTGAAAGGCGTCAGTTGGAGTTGAAAGGCGTCGAGGGCGGGGATTGAAACCGAGGGACCCTGGGCGGAGAGATGCGCCGGGCAAAGTCCTTAAGGATCGGCGTTCACCACGCCGACGCGGTCGTATGGGGACCAGTGCATAGAACGCGCCTGAGGGTCCGGAGGCGCCGCGCGTCGCCGGGCTCTTCGCGAACGTCGCGAAGCTCACGAACGGCCCGCACTGGTACAGCGGCGGGTACATCACGTACGACACGCACGCGGCGAACCGCTCGAACGTGACGCCCGCGGCGTCCCCGGACGTCTCCAGGCCGTGGGATATCATTCGAATCAACGAAAACCGCGCGGCTTTCCTGTGGTCGAACGAACAGGACGCGCGACCGAGGAACCCTACGCTCGCGAGCTCGAGCCACCACCCCCCGCGGCGCCGCGCGCGCTTCGACGCCGACGCCGACGCCGCGGACGCGGACGGTTCCGTGAGATTGCACGCGAGCAACAGGCACGCGCCCGCGACCCACGTGGCGCGTTTTCGATCACGCGGTCGGTCGAACGCGCGGCCCGCGAAGAAGACGGCGCACGTCGGCGCCAACACGAACGCCGCGCCGGGGACGCCGTGCGCGAGCGCCGCGTGCGCGAGCGCGCACCAAAACGCCGTCGTCTTCGGGGGTACTTTACATACGCGCGCCGCGACGACGCGAACCGTCGCGATGACGACCGCGGCGGCGACCTGAAACGGCGCGACCGTCCTCGACCACTCGAGCAGCCGCCAGTGCGCCGCGCGGTCGACGCGTCTTCGTCCGAGACCCCAGAGACCCCGCATGCGTTCCTCCCCAAACGCGCGCGACGACAGCGCGGACGACGTGAACATCGCCCACGGCGCCGGCGTCGTGGCGACCGCGACCGCGACGAGGACCGCGCAGACGACGAGAGGTCTCGACGGCGCGCGCATCGACCCGGGTAAGGTCGCGACGGTTGGCGTTTCGTCTTCCCCCGCGACGGTTGGCGTTTCGTCTTCCCCCGGGTCTCCTCCGGGCGCGTCGGGCGCGACGGCGAGGTCGCACAACGCGCGCGCGAGCGTCCGCGGCGTGCTCCCCTCGACCAGCAACAACGTCGGCGGGAGCGCGATCGCGAGGTCGAGCTCGAGCTCGCCGTGCATCGTCGCGATGGCGAACGAGTCCATGACGCCCTCGCGATTCAGCCGCGTGTTGGCGTGCACGCGGCGGCCCGGGCCCGCGCTGCGTCCGTGACGACGACGCACGTGATCGAGCAACGCGGCTTCCATCTCCGCGACGACCGCGTCGCGTCCGCGCGACGCGTACGTCCGCAGCAGCGGCGCTCTGCCGTCCGGGAACGGCCGATGGCGGCGGCGGCGGCGGTTCACATCCGCGTCATCGTCGCCGGTGGACGCGCGTCGGTTCGTCTTCATAGCGTCGACGACCGAGAGCGTCCCGTCCCGAAACGCCTCCGCGCACGCGCGGCGTCGGAGCTTCCCGCTCGTCGTCCTCGGCGCCGTCCGCGCGCGCAGAAGCAGAACGTCCTCGCGCCGCACGCTCACGCCGTGCGTCTGCGAGATGACCGCGCGAACGCCGTCGACGACGACGCCCGCGAGAGACGCGGAGATGGCGTCGTCGCGCGTCTCCGCGATCACGCCGATCGACTCGTCGGTCGTCGACCCGTCGCGCTCGATCGAGAACGCCGCGATCGACCCCGGACGCAGCGCCCCTCGCGCGCGAGACGCCCCCGTCCCGTCGCCCCACCCCTCGCTCGCGTCCGCGTCGCGTATCGTCCGCTCGATGTCCTCGGGCGCGAAGTTCCGCCCGCCGACGACGATGAGGTCTTTCGATCGGCCCGTCACGAACAACTCGCCGTCGCGCGCGAACCCCTCGTCGCCGGTCCGCAGGAACGCGCCGCCGCGCTTCCCGTCGACGTCGTCCGCCAGCGTCGCGCCGAACGCGCCGTCGTCGTCCGCGTCGCCGCCGTCGCGCCGCCAGAACCCGGACGCGATCGACGCGCTCCTCACCCAAATCTCCCCGACCTCTCCGTCCGCGCACCGCGCGCGTCGCGCCGCGTGCACGACGCACACCTCGACGTCCCCGCGCGGCGCGCCCACGCTGGCGACGCGCCGCACGTCCACGACGGAAGACGCGCGACCGTCGATTCCCGTCGCGACTACGACGACCGCTCGCTTATCGCGCTCGAGCGACGACCCGCAGATCGATATCGACCGCGACGGCCCGTCGCACACGTACACGACGCTCTCCGCGAGGCCGTACCCGTGAAACATCGCGCCGGGCGAATACCCGCACGCCTCGAACGCGGCCGCGAAGACCGCCGACGTCCTCGGATCTATCCTCTCCGCGGCGTTGAGACAATGCCGCAGAGACGACAGGTCTAACCCCAACGCCTCCCTCGCGTGTATCGGCAACGCGTTGAAACGCGCCGCGCAGAGGCGGTACGCGAAATCCGGCGCCTGCGTCATCGTCGCGCGGTATCTCGACGCGACGCGCGCCCACACAAGCGGGTCGCGCATGAACGCGACCGGGCTCACGCTGACGCACGTCGTGCGCGGTGGCGGGGTGTTGCTATCGCATTCCGCCGCCGGGATCGTCAACGGCACGAGGTACGCGCCGACGAGGCCCATGTCGTGGTACTGCGGCAGCCACGTGACCTCGACGTCGGCGGCGGTGACGCGAAAATTGCGTCGTATCGACGCGCAGTTGTGCGTCACGTTGGCGTGCGTGATCACGACGCCCTTGGGCGCGGACGTGCTCCCGGAGGTGTACTGCACGAACGCGACGTCGCCGGGGTTCGGGGACGGCGATGATAACTTCCGCGCGTTGGGCGTTTCCGCGGTCTCCGCGGCGCCCGCGACGAGGCGCTCGATCGGGAGCCACCGCACGCCGCCGCCGCCGCCGCCGCCGCCGCCGCCGCCGCCGAGGCGGCCGCGCCCGAACATCGTCGACGCGATCCTCCCCGCGCGCGCCGCGAGCGACCTGACCCGCACCGCGGTCGCGTACGACGTCGTCGTGATCGCGACGTGCGCCCCGAACGCGTCGTACGTCCGCCGTAAGTCGTCCATGGACCTCGCGAACGCGCGCGCGTTCGCCGTCGGATCAGGCGGGTACGCCGGCGCGACGACGACGCCGCGCGCGGCGCACGCGCCGAGAAACACGGGGAGGAACTCGAGGCCCGGAGGGAACACGAGGAGCGCGCGCAACTGCGAGTCGCGCGGCCCGCCCACGCCGTCCCCTCCGCCGCCCGCGGCGAGGCGCTCGAGCGCGTCGCGCGTCGCCGCCGCGCGCGCGCGGAGCGTCGCCGCGTCGAGACGCGAGCGCTCGGTGGCGCCGTCGTCGCTCAACGCTGCGTACGCGAAGGCGCGCGGGTGCGTCGCCGACCACGCCTCGAGGCCGGCCAGGGGGTGGATCAGCGACAGCGGCGGCGGCGGCGACCGCGACGGCGGCGGCGGCGGCGACCGCGACCGCGACGGCGGCGGCTCCGCGGCGGCGGGCGCTTCGGCGAGCGCGCGCGCCGCCTCGACTTTTCCGTCGTCGTCCGCGTCTCCCGCGCGTCGTCGGGCCCCTCGCGCGCGCGTCTCGTCGTCGCCACCGCGGTCGTTCGCCGCCGACGTCATCGCCGCGATCGCGCGCGGCGCGTCGCGGCGGGGGAGGGCGCGCGCGCGGCTCGAGTGCGGACCGCGCGTGTTCGTCCGGTGACGCGAGCAGAGTGTCATCAGTTTCAACCAGATCCGTTCCAGGTTCACGCTCTTTCGGCTCTCTATCAACCCGTCCCTTACAACCCGTCCGTCCCTTTCAAACCCGTCCGCTGAAAGTGAGATTCGAACTCACGGCCTTTCGAGGTCCGAAGAGATCCGAGATCTTCTTCCGCACTCCGTCCTTCCGTCCGCGCGTCTCGACACTCCACTCCGCCGCCGCGCGCCTCACGCACGCCGCCGCCGTCCGAGCTCTCGTCGCCTCCCCGCGTCGACGCGCTCCCCGACTCGCCGCCGACGACCCGGCGCGAGCGCGCTCCCCGATCCGTCCGCCCGCGACGCCGGTCGATCGATAGACCGCCGATCTCGGCGACGATCTGCCGCCGCGGATAAGCGTCGTCACGATGGCGACTCGCGCGATGATGCCGACGACGACGACGCGCGCGTCCTCCTCCTTCGCGCCCTCCCCGAGATCGTTCCGCGCCGTCCGCGCGGTGACGCGTCACGCGCCGTCCGCGCGCGCGTCCAGGCTCAACGTCCGCGCGTCAGGCAGCGCGGACGCCGCGTACGACGCCGTCGTCATCGGCGCGGGCGTCTCCGGCCTCAGCACCGCGTTCACGCTCGGAAGGAAGAGCCCGGGGACGCGAACGCTCGTCACGGAAGCGCGCGATCGCGTCGGCGGGAACATCACGACGCGCAGCGAGAACGGCTACGTGTGGGAGGAAGGCCCGAACTCGTACCAGCCGGGCGACGCGATCCTCACCGTGGCGTGCGACGCGGGGATGCGCGACGACATCCTCCTCGCGGATCCGAACAGCGATCGGTACGTGCTCTGGGACGGCGAGCTCAGAGCGTTGCCCAAAGATATTCCCACCGCGGTTCTCGGGACGTTTCTGACGTGGCCCGGGAAGATCCGCGCCGGCCTCGGCGCGATCGGGATCCGCCCGCCGCCGCCGGAGGGGAAGGAGGAGTCCGTGAAGGAGTTCGTGTCACGGAACTTGGGCGTCGAGGCGTTCGAGCGTCTCATCGAGCCGTTCTGCTCGGGCGTCTACGCGGGCGATCCCGCGATGTTGTCCTCCGTCGCCGCCACCGGGAGGGTGCAGCGCCTCGAGCCGCTCGGCGGGTCGCTCGTCGCGGGCGCGCTGAAGGCGCAGAAGGAGGCGTACGACGCGATGAAGGCGAGAGGGCCGCGCGATCCGAGGCTGCCGAAGGTGGAGGGCCAGACGGTGGGATCGTTCCGCGGCGGATTGAAGACGTTTCCGGAGGGGCTCGCGAGAGCGCTCGGCCCGGAGGTGCGTTCCATACACTGGTCCCCATACGACCCCGTCGGCGTGGTGAACGCCGATCCTTAATGACTTCGCCCGGCGCATCTCTCCGCCCACACCTCGCTTTCAACCCCCGCCCTCGGCGCCTTTCAACTCCATCTGACGCCTTTCAACTCCACCCCGACATCGCTTCGTATGGAACGACCCGGACCCGGAGGTGGTCAAGCTCGAGTGGAAAGTGACGCAAATCACGAAGAACGCCGACGGCGACGGGTTCGACATCGCGTACGATACCCCCGAGGGCGCGAAGACGATCACGAGCCACTCCGTCGTGATGACCGCGCCCGCGTACGTGACGTCGAAGGTGGTGGAGGCGATGGCGCCGGCGGCGTCGGCGGCTTTGGATAAATTTTATTATCCGCCCGTCGCGTCGGTGACGGTGTCGTACCCGAAGGACGCGTTCCGATTGGACGGCACGAGCGCGCTTCCGGAGGGCGGGCTGACCGGGTTCGGGCAGCTGCACCCGCGGAGCCAAGGGATTCGCACGCTCGGGACGATCTACTCGTCGTCCCTGTTCAAAGACGACAAGAGGCAGCCGGACGGCGAGTTCATGATCTTGAACTACATCGGCGGCGCGCGCGACACTGCGGTGAAGGACATGACCGACGAGGCGCTCGTGACGGCGATCCACGAGGACGCGCTGAAGACGATCCTGAAGCCCGGGACGCCGCCGCCCAAGGTGGTCGGCGTGAAGGTGTGGGAGAAGGCGATTCCGCAGTTCAACGTCGGACACCTCGACGTGCTCGCCGACGCCAAGAGAGGGCTGAAGGAAGCCGGGTGCGACGGGCTGTTCCTCGGCGGGAACTACACCGCCGGCGTCGCGTTGGGGCGGTGCGTGGAGTTTGGCGTGGAGCAAGCCGCGGAACTGGAGACGTACATCGCGAGCGTGAAGGCGAAAGAGCTCGCGCGTTGATCGTTCGTTCGCGACTGATGACCCTCGCGTCGCGTCGCGCGTCGGGCATCGTTTTAAATAATTACGAAGGTACTATACACCCTGGACGCCGCCGTTCATCATCCTACTTACCGCATGCCTACCCCTCACACCCCTCGACCGCCGTGCCGCGCGCCCAACGCCCCGAACTTGCTCTCGAACAGCCCCTTCACGAACGCGACGTTCCACGCCGACGCGCCGACGAGCGCCGCCGCTTGCAACAACGCGTACCCGGTCACCTTCGCCGCGATCGAGTCCGCGTTCGCTCTGTGGTGCCGGTCCCTCTCCTTCTGGTACTCCATCTCCGCCCTGACCTCGTTCGTGATGTACTTCAGCGATATGATCGCCGCCTCGAGGTCGGTCACCGTCTCGCGCGTCGCCGCGTCGTGCGCGAAGTGATGACCGACGAGGACGTCGTAGACGACCGTGCGCGTCGCGTGGTCGCGGTTGTGGATGCAAAACTCGTGCGCGCCCGCGCGCTCGCTCTCGAACTCGAACTTGTGGTCGTTCACGCGGTTCTTCTGGAACGCGACGTTGTCTTCGTCGTCTCTGACGACGAGGTCGAACGCGCCGTAGTAGGACCGCGGGTCGAGATCGGGCGACGACGCGGTGAGGAATCCGCTGAACGTGTCCGCGACGCGCGTCGCGTGGACGGTGACGCACTCACGCCCGTCGGGCGCGATCGCGACCTTGACCGCGCGCGCGGGGGAGGCGAAGAAGAGCGCGAGGAGGAGGACGACGAAGAAGAAAAGTCTCGACGTCATCGCGACGACCCGACGCCGCGCGAGGACGACGAGTGACGCGGGCTGCGACAGCGACAGGACGACGCGCTAAAAAATAAAATCGATCCGAGTCGGCATCATCGCGCGCGATCCTTCGGGTCAAATATCCCACGCGGCGCGCGTCCGCGGCACAACGCGACGCACGAAGCGCACGGCGCGGAGTGCCGACACTCTCCAAACACCACCGCGACACCCCGAGCTCGACTCGGCGCGATCCGCGGGACCGGCGGCGCGAACGACGTCCGCGAGCGCGCGGATCCGTCGCGCGAGATCTGATCTTCCCGCCGTCGATTTCGGCGCGAATCGTCGTGGCGTCCTCTCCGCGGCGCGATCTGACCGCGCGATCTCTCGACGCGCTCGCGGAGTGAGCCTCCGATCGACCGCGTGATACGCTCTCGCGCGCGACTCCGCCATGGGAGTCCCGAAGTTCTACCGATGGCTCTCCGAGCGGTACCCGCTGCTGAACCACACGTGCGGCGCCGGTACGGTCCCCATCATCGACAACCTGTACCTCGACATGAACGGCGTCATCCACAACTGCTCGCACGGCGCGGGCACGGACATCAACACGCGAATGACCGAGGACGAGATGATGGCCAAGGTGTTCGCGTACCTCGACCACATCTTCCGCATGGTGCGCCCGCGGCGGCTCCTGTACATGGCGATCGACGGCGTCGCGCCGAGAGCGAAGATGAACCAGCAGCGCAGCCGTCGATTCCGATCCGCGCTCGAGGCGAAAAAGGCGAAAGAAGAGGCGATCGCGAAGGGCGAGCCGGAGCCGTCCGGGGAGCCGTTCGACTCGAACTGCATCACCCCCGGGACGCCGTTCATGGCGAGGCTGAGCGAGCACCTCCGGTTCTACGTCATGAAGAAGCAGACGGAGGACCCGCAGTGGCAAAAGGCGACGGTGATCCTCTCCGGGCACGAGGTACGAGGCGAGGGCGAGCACAAGATCATGGAACACATTCGGTGGGCGCGGGGCGAGCCCGGGTGGGACCCGAACCAGACGCACTGCCTGTACGGCCTCGACGCGGATCTCATCATGCTCGCGCTCGTGACGCACGAGCCGCACTTTTGTCTGTTGAGAGAGGTGGTCAAATTCGGCGGCGGCGAACGCGGGCAACCGAGCCGAGAGGTGATGCAAAACCCCACGGACGACGGGTTCTTGCTGCTCCAAATCGGGCTCCTGCGCGAGTACCTGGACCTAGAGTTTCGCGTCGTCGCCCCCGCGCTGCCGTTCGAGTACGACTGCGAGAGGATCGTGGACGATTTCGTGCTCCTCGCGATGCTCGTCGGGAACGACTTCCTTCCGCCGTTGCCCACGCTGGACATCGCGGAGGGCGCGCTGAACAAGCTGTTCGCGACGTACCGCGACCTTCTTCCGTCGCTGGGCGGGTACGTCACCGGCGACGACGGCGGCGGGACGTTCGATCCGAAGCGATTGGAGAAGATCTTACGCGTGATGGGCGAGATGGAGCAAGACGTGCTCGAGGCGCGCGCCAAAGACGTCGAACTCGCGGAGCAGAAGAAAGCCAAGCAAGACGGCCGACGCGGCGGAAACGGCGGGGATCGAACCGGCGGCGTATCGAAGAAGTCGAACGCCGCGATGAAGTCCGAGATCGACGAGGAAGATAAGTTCGCGCGAGCGATGGCAGCGTTGATGAAGGACGGCGAGGGATCTGGATCTGGATCCGGCGGAGGGGCGCCGCTCGAGCCCGAGCCCGAGAACGGCGGCGGCGTCAGCGCGGAGCCGACGATGATGTCCGTCGCGAAGCGAAACGCGCTCGAGGAGGGCGGGATCGAGAGGTGGAAGGAGATTTACTACCGCGAGAAGCTCGAGCTCAAGGTGGGCGAGCCCGCGCCGCTGAAGGAGCTGCGACAGGCGTACTTCGAGGGCTTGAACTGGGTGTTGCGGTACTACTACCGCGGCGTCGCGTCGTGGACGTGGTACTATCCGTTCCATTACGCTCCGATGGCTTCCGACCTCAGCTCCGGGCTCGGTCAGCTCACCGCGAGCTTCGACTACGGGATCCCGTTCCGGCCGTTCGAGCAGCTCCTCGCGGTGCAGCCGCCGGCGAGCGCGACGCTGCTGCCGGAGCCGTTCCGGTGGCTGATGACGGCGCCGCACTCGCCGCTGGCGCCGTTTTTCCCGCGAGAGCTCAAGGTGGACTTCGAGGGGAAGCGCAACGACTGGGAGGGCGTCGTGCTGCTGCCGTTCCTGGACGAGGACCTCCTGAAGCAGTGCATCAACAGCGTCCCGGCGTCCAAGCTCACGGACGCGCAGATCGCGAGGAACAAGCCCGGCTCGCTGGTCGTGTTCCGGCACAACCCGAACGGCAAGACGGACGTAGCGTCGACGCTGCCGAAGACGTTCGGCGGTCTGTTCCCGTGCAAGTCGCGCGCGTTCGAGTCCACGCCCCCCGGGGAGTTCCCTGACGATCGCGCGTGCTTCGGCGGCGTAGAGTCGCTCCTCCCCGGGGTGAATCTCGGCGCGGACCGCCCGCCCGGGTTCCCGACCGTGCATTCCCTGACGGACGTCCGCGGCGAGTTGAAATGCGCGGGCGTCAACGTGTTCGGCTCGGCGACGAAGAAAGAGTCGCTCATCGTGCGCGTCGGCAAGCGAGGCGACCCGGCGTTGCTCGCGGGCGGCGACAACGGCGGCGCGCAAACCGGAGGCTCCGGCGCGGGCGCGTACGCGCACCTGTTACACTCGAGGGTGCACGTCGGATGGCCGTATCTGAGAGAGGCGATGGTCGTCGCCGTGAGCGACGCGAGAGAAAAGATCACGGGCGCGCGTGGGGTTCGAACGCCGCACGGCGCGTCCGAGTGGAACGCGGAGACGCAGCGCACCGCGAACGAGATGCTCACGACACGAGGGCTCGACGTCGGCCGCGTGGACGTGACGCTGCACTGCCGCGCGTGCGAAGGGTTGGTGCGGCACCCGGACGGGTCGCTGCAGAAGCGCTTCGGAAAGACCGACGCGAGGGTACCCGTGAACGTCGTCCTCCTCGCCGACCCGTCGCCGTCGCCGAGGCTCGCGGAGCGCCCGGCGCTGACGGGCGACGCCGCGAAGGACGCGAAGGCTGCGGTCTCCGGGTTCAGCGTCGGCGACGCGACGCTGTACCTCGGCAGGTCGCACTTTGGCGCGGTGGCGACGATCGCGGCGATCGACGAGGCGAAGGGGTTGGAGGTGACGATCGAGCCATCCGCGGCGTGCACGGGGGTCGGGCGGCGCATTCTTCAGGGCGTCTTCGGGGGAAGGTACGAGAACCCCGGCGCGGTCGCGAGGAAGCTCGGTCTGAACCCGCGCGCGCTGTCGCAGCTCACCGGGCCGCTGTGGATCGCGCCCACGAAGGACTGCGGCCGTTTCGACCGCGTCGACGTCGGGCTGAACCTCAAGTCTGGGAACAAAGGGCTGTGCGTGTCGGACTACACGCGCCCGCAAAAGGAAGGCAACGGCTGGGAGTACTCCCAGCACGCGATCAAGCTCATGCAGGAGTACAAAGCGAAGCACGGCTGGGTCTTCAACGCGATCATGGCGGACCCGGACAACGGATTCGAGGGCCTCCTCCTCGACGACGCGCTCAAGCACGTCGCGGAGCCGAGCCGGTTGGGGATGCTTAAGGATCTTAAAGCGTGGCTCAAGGCGACGCCCGCGGCGCGAAAGCCGCTCGTCTCGAAGTTCTCCAAAGTCGCCGCGGAGGAGGCGATCAGGGCGCTGTACGCCGCGACCGGCGCGAGGGAGGTGGCGGGCGGGAGACCGCCGCCGATCGCGCTCGAGTCCGTCTCCCCGCTCGCGTTGATGCAGCCGGTGAGAGCGGGTGAGATATTGGACCTGTACGCCGGCGGCGACTTCGACCTGGGCGACCGCGTCGCGATGGTCGGCGACAGCGGCGCGCCGGCGTTCGGGACGCGAGGGTACGTCGTCGCCGTGCACGGCGAAGCCGCGGAGGTGATGTTCGACGTCGACTTCGTCGGCGCGACGGACCTTCACGGCGCGCTGCCGGAGCGCAGAGGCGCGTTGCTGCCCACGGCGCAGCTCGTCAACTTGTCGCATCCGCCGGCGATGCCGCAGTTGGGCGCGGCGGCGCCGGACCAAAAGAAGGCGGATAAGAAGGGCAAGGATTTAAAACTGCCGAAGGGGTTCAAGGAGGCGTGGAGGGAAGATAACGGCGGCGGCGGGAAAGGGATCCTCGCCATGGCCGCGGCGTTGTTGCCGGGGAAAGCAAACGGGGCTGGGGCGGCGGCGACGGCGCCGCCCGCGGGGCCGCGGATGCCCGTCGCGGGGTCGAAGGGCTTCGACGGCGGCATGGGCCGCGGCAGGGGTAAACCGCCTCCTGGCGGAGGGGTTTCTTCTAAGACCCTCGGCGCGGTCCCCGCGCCGAAACCCGGGGCGCCGGGCTCCCCCGGGTCGCCCGCGGACCTCATGGCGATGCTGACGGGCGCGAACAACAAAGCCGCGACGTCGGACATCATGAACATGCTCGGCGTCGGCGGCGGCGGCGGCGGCGCGACGGCGGCGCCCGCGCCGAAGTCTGCGCCCGCGCCGCCGCCCCCCGCGCCCGGGGCGGCGCTGATGTCCATGCTCGGCATCGGCGGCGGCGCGCCCGCGCCCGCGCCTCCCGCGGCGAAACCGGCCGCGTTATCTCTCGAGCAGATCGAAGCCGCCGCGATGGCCGGCGGCGGCGGCGGCGGCGCGAAACCCGCCAAGGTCTCCGCGAAGCAGCCGCCCGCGCCGAAGCGCGCCGCCGCGGCGGGCGTGGCTCCGGCTCCGGCTCCGGCTCCGGCCCCTCCCGGCGCGAACGACCCCGCGGCGTTCTGGAACATGCTGTCGGGCGGCGGCGTGCCCGCGGTCGCGATGCCGCCCATGCCGACGGCGCCTCCCAAGGCGGTCGTCGCGAGCGCCGCCGCCGCCGCGCCGCCGCCGCCGCCGATGCCCGCGGCGACGGCGTCGCTGAGCGACATCGAGGTCCCGGCGACCGCGGCCGCGACCGCGGGCGACGACCCGCTCGCGTTCTGGAAGGAGCTCCAGTCGCAGCACAAGGCGGAGGCGGAGAGGCTGACGGGCGGGAGCGGCGACGGCGACGGCGGCGGCGGCGACGGCGGCAGGTCGCGGATGTCGAGCCATCGCCGTCGATCGAAAAAGTAGGCTGCGGATGAGCGTTCGGCGCCCTTTCGTGACAGCTGTGACGAGTTTCAACCTCAACGCGTCGTACGCTCTATGATACTACTGGTTCTCCTCCGGATCGCCTCGACCTAACCCCCCCGCGCCTCGCAGCCACTTCTCGAGCCTCTCGTCCCTGCGTCGCCGCCCCGCGGCGCCCCAGTCTTCTTCGCCGTTCGCCGCCGCGTTTTTTCCCTTGCTCGCCTTCTTGTTCCTCCGCTTGTTCCTCCGCGCCTCCGACTCCGACTCCGCCCTCGACATGTCCTTCAGCGTCTTCTTCATCCGCCGCCGCACGTCCGCGGCGGCGGCGTCGCCCTCGTTCGCCCTCTCTCTGCTCCCTCGCAGCGCGCGTTTCATCCGCCGCTCCGCGTCCTCCACGATTTCTCTTCGCCGCGCCAGCCGCGTCGCGCCGAGCGCGCAGTCCTTCGCCTCGCACGGCACCTTCCCCACCCCGTCGCACTTCACGCACGGCGTCGTGAGCTTCGGCGACGCGATCGCGCCCTCGGGGGAGTTCGGATCCCCCGACCAGTCGAGCTCCTCGCGCTGCTTCCATCCCGCGCTCCACAGCGTTCGATCCTTGAGCTCTCGCGTCGACACGTGGATCGTGATGGCTCGGTCGCACGTCGCCGCGAGCTCGACGGTCGCGTGTGCCTTGCCGCACTTCTTGTCCGCGGGCGACTTTCCGATCGCCTCGAAGTGCCGCCACCCTCTCGTCCGCCGGTGCGCGGTCCAGTTGGTGCCGACGATGGAGCGCATATCGACGTGGTTCTTCGCGTGGAACCCGCCCGCGGGGAGCGCGCCGCGACCGTCGCACGCGTCGCACGGAGACGCGCCGGTGCCGTCGCACGAGACGCACGATGATGCGAGGGAGGGGCCGCGCGACGCGCTGAGCAGGGTGTTGGACGCGTCGTTGGGGTCGACGAGCCGCGCGCGCGCCGCGCGCTTGGGGGCGGAGGCGCGGTCCGACGGCGGCGGGTCGGACGACGACGACGACGACGACGACGACGACGCGTCGACGACGACGACGCGGCGGGGACCGCGAGCGCGCGACGCCGGCGCCGGGGTCGCGACGCGCACGCGGCGCGATGACGTCGCGCGCGTGGGGTGCGCGAAGAACGCCGCGAGATGCGCGCGACACGTCGCCGCCATCGCGGCGGCGCGCGGGTGCGGTGTGGGACGTCGTCGCCGTCACGCGGAGCACTATTTTCGTTGGCATGCAATGCGTCGCGTCGTGACCTCCGGTCGAAGCTCGATTCGGCAGCCACTCCCCCGCGCGCGCGTCGCCGTCGCGTCGCGCGTATCGCGATGGCGTCCACGCCCACGACGGGTTTCATCTCGCCGTCTCGGCGCGCGCGACGCACGCCGGCGTCGCGCCCGATCTACTCCTCGGACTCGTCCGACGATGGCGCGGACCTGTGGAGTAGATCTGTCGCGAAGATGCTGCGAGGGAAGGCGAGCGCGTCGCGGTTCGTGCGCGACGCGGACGCGGCGCCGCCGCGGACGCGCCTCAAGCTGCGGTACGAGGACGACGACGCGGAGACGGAGACGGAGGATCATCTCGAGGAGGAGGAAGACGTCGACGAGGACGCGACCGAGGACGCGACGACGGACGACGAGGACGATGAGAGAATTAGGGCGAATCCGCGCGGGTTCCGATCGGAGCCGCGGGCGGGACGGACGCGCCCGGGCTCGAGCTCGCGGGGGCCCCGCGAGCGTCGCGATCGCGAGCCCGCGTCGGGGGGGTCGATGTCCTCGAGGACGAAAACGCGCGGCGGCGACCGCGGAGGGAGGCGGGTCGCGCAGACGGAGCGCAAGCCGCCGCGGAGCGCGGGAGGGGGAGGGCGTCGACATCGATTCTTCGACGTCGACGCCGACAACGACGACGACGCGGCGCCCGCGTCGCTCGAGCGATCGTTCGTGGACGCCGCGCGCGCGATGCGCGCCATCAAGTCGGACCTCAGGATCATATCCGACCGCGTCGACCGCGTCGCCGCCGCGAGCGCGTCGAAGCGACGGGGCGGGGGCGGGGGAGGAGGACGCGCGCGCGGCGGGCGCCGGCTGTTCGACGACGACGACGACGACGACGACGACGCGTTCGCGCTCGACGGAACGCCGCGGTCGGGGCCGTTTTCGGCGGCGTCAGGGCGCGGCGGCGGCGGCGGCGGCGGCGGCGGCGTGGACGACGACGCGTGGACGAGAGATACCGCGGAGGATGGCGTACTCGCGCGCGTCGCGGCGTTGGAGAACACGCTCGCGTATCGAGCCGCCGACGCGGCGACGCTGCGCGCGAGGGGCCACCGCGGCGGGGACCGCGGCGGGGACGGGGACGGGGACGGGGACGGGGACGGGGACGGCGGGGTCGAGCGCGAGCGCCGCGACGGACGCGACCGAGGAGGGAGGCGCGGCGACGCGCCCGCGAACGAGCGCCGCGCGCGCGGGACGACGACGCCGGCGGCGGCGGAGGAGAACAAGAACGAGAAGACGCGCGGCGGCGTCCTCGAGAGCGTCGTGAACCTGACGCGACTCGTCCTCACCGCGGCGATGGCGTTCGCCGCCGCGTGCCTCGTCATCGCGCTGGTGGACCTCGTGCTGACGCCGGAGGACGCCTTCGTGCGGTACTACGCGATGGAGGGCGCTGATGGATGGGCGACGGCGACGCCGCGCGTGGCGGCGTTGCTGCGCGGGACGTCGAACGCGCTCTCTGCCGTCGCGACGCGCGTCGTTCGCGCGTTCGACGAAGACTTGGACGCGCCGGCGTGTCGGCCGAGTTGATGACTCCGTCGAGGACTCTAGAGTCTATCACGCTCTCGTGAGGTACACGGTACTACTAGATAGCTACTACTGCGCGCAAACGACTTCGCTCACTCCTCAAAAAGCGTCCTCCTCGCTCCCCGTTCACATGGAGGCCCTCTCCGCGAACGTCTTCGTCCACGTCTCGAAGTCGTGATCGTTCGCCTCGCTCAGACACTCCGGCGTCGGGTCCCCCCCCTCGGGCGCGCGCGGGTACCCGTCCGGATCGCAGTGCCCGTACGCGGCGGCGGCGCGAAACGCCGACGACCTCGCCCACACGATCAAGTTCATCCGCTCCCCCGCGGCGATGACGTCCGCGCCGTGCCGCTGCCTGCCCAAGTGCATCACCGCGCGGCCCGGGACGTGTGACACCGCGAACGACGGCCCGGAGCGATGGTTCGCGTCGCCGAACCGCCCGCAGAACCGCAGCCCCGCGCCCTCGAAGTGGTCCCTTCCGATACACACGTTTAGCGTCACCTCGCTCGCGTCGTGATGCATGTCCAGGCGCGTGTCCTTGTCGCGCGCGTAGTGCACGACGAACGAGTGGTGGTGGTCGAGAGAGTCGGCGAATATTTCGTCGCGGTACAGCGCCGCCGCGAGCGGCGACGCGAGCGCTTTCACGACGTCCGTCATCAGGCCCCACATCCCGATCTCGTTCACGATCAGCCCCGACGCGTTCATCGTGTTCGGGCGGCGTTTCGGAAGCCCCGAGACCTCGTACGCGTCCACCTCTTCCGTGAGCATCGCGCAGAAGCGCTCTTCGAAGAGGTCGAACGCGTAGACGCCCGCGGCGGCGGCGTCGTCGTCGTCGTCCCCGTCGGGTTCCGGCCCGACTTCTTTCACGACCCCCGCTCGAACGACGTCGTCCGCCGCGGCTCGAACCATCGCGTCGTCGCACGACCGCACCGCGTTCAGTAACGTCCGGAACGGCGGCGTTATCCACTCAGGCATCAACACCGCGTCGTCGCCGAGCAGCTCCGCGTGCGCGTGCAACCCGTTCGCGGCGTTCGCGTAACGGTCGACGACGGCGCGTTTCTCCCACGTGCTCCTCGCCGCGTCGCGCCACCGCTCCGCGAGGATGTTCCTCTGCTCGCGCTCGATCTCGTCGTCCCACTCGTCGTCCAAGTCCTCGTCCTCGAACAGCCCGCCCATGGGCATCGCGTGCGGGTCTATAGGCGGCGGCGGCGGGCCCGGCGGCGGCGGGCCCGGCGGCGGCGGGCCAGCCCCCGGCGGCGGCGGGCCGGCCCCCGGCGGCGGCCCCCCCGGCGGCGTCCCCGGCGGGGTGGGATCCGACACCGCGCTCCACGTTCTGCGCAACCCTGGCGGCGGTTCATGTTCAGGCGGCGCGAGGTGATCGCCTCGCAGCCACTCCGCCGCGCGCTCGAGGATGACGCGCAACGACGCGACGCGCTCGCCGCTCGCGTCGTACTCGTACTCCATGTCCATCCAGAAGTGGTCGTCCACGAAGCCCTCCTGATCCACCCCCGCCATGGCGAACGTGCCGTCGGAGACGAAACGCGCCGCGCACGGCGACCGCGGCGGCGCGCCGAGCATCGCAGCCGTCTCCGGGTCGTCGCCGACGCCCTCGCCGCCGACGCGGAAGCGCCACCCCGACGCTTTCGCGCCGTACCCGCGCGGGTCGAGCCCGGGAGGGAAGAGCGCGGCCTCGACGAGCCCTGACGATATCTGGCGCAGCGAGAGCACGCCGTGACGCGCGCGCCATTCGGTCTCGTCTCGAAGCGCGTCGCACTCGTTCGCGACCGCGATGGACGCCGCGTGGTCCCTGGCGAGGATCAGCCTCGGTTTCGGCGGCGGGTGCGTCATCTCGGACGCGCCGCGCTTCGGCATCGCGACGGACGGCGCGCGCGCGACCGACTGTGACGAAAGTACTTCAGCCCGTCCCAGATTCGAGCCGTTGTTGAATCTCATCGCACTCCCGCGCGCGCGACGGCGCTCGAGGAGGACTCCTCCACCCCGGGGCATCGATGCCGCCCACGTTCGCCAAGCCGCAGAAGCGCCCGCGCCCCGCGAAGCGCACGCAGACCGGGAAGATCGTCCTCCGCGTGGACTCGTCCGCGCGATTGGACAGCCATGTCTCCGCGACGCGAGCCATCGCGGACGCCCTCTGCGCCAAGTTCGCGGCGGAGGGCGCGAACGTCGTGACGCGCGACCTCGCGCGTGTCCCGCCGTCGCTGATCACGGAGGCGTGGATCGAGCACGCGCCGCTGCCGCGCGACGACCTGTACTACGAGCTCGGCGACGAGACGACGGTAGAGGAGAAGGCGGAGCGCGAGGCGAGAGAGATGAAGCGACGCGAGCTCATGGAAGAGTCCGACGAGTACCTCGTCGAGCTCCTCAGCGCGGACGTCCTCGTCATCGGCGCGCCGCTGTACAACTTTAGCGTCCCGGCGTCGCTCAAGGCGTGGATCGACCTCGTCGTGCGCGACAAGCGCACGGTGCGCGACACGAGGGAGGGGCCCATCCCGTTGCTGAAGGTGCGTTCTATACACTGGTCCCCATACGACCGCGTTGGCGTGGTGAACGCCGTTCCTTAAGGACTTTTCCCTGCGATTCTCGCCGCCCACCCCTCGATTTCAATCCCCTCCCTCGACGCCTTTCAACTCCAACTGACGCCTTTGAACTCCACCCCGACGTCGCTTTGTATGGAATGGCTCTGAAGAACAAAAAGGCGTTCGTGATCTTCGCGAGCGGCGGCGCGCCCGTGGGGACGCCGGGCGTGGACTTCAACTCGGACTACGTGCGCGCGATTTTAGGCCACGTGGGCATCACGGACGTGACGCTGTTGCACGCGGCGGGGACGTGGCGAGGGGAGAGGGCGTTGCAGCGCGCGTTATCGATGCAAGTCGCGCATATCGACGCGCGCGCGACGCTCCGAGACATCCCGGAAAACGATGTTCTCCCGTCGAACGTGCGCGAGAGCGCGTTCGCGCGGAAGCGGAACGTCATCGAGAGCAACGAGGCGAGGATGAAGGAGAATCCGCCGCCGAAGGCGATGAAGACGTCGGGCGTCGGCCCGGGGCCCGGGGTGGGGTCCCCGAAGAAGGTGGCGCTGATCAACTTGATCCAAAACCGCCCGCCGAAGAATGAGATTCGGTTGAACCTGGACTGCACGGAGACGAACGTCGCGATCGCGCCCATCATCGTCGGCGAGAGCGCGAGCGTGAACGTCACCGTCGCGGACCCGACGGTCGTGGTGTTGTCCGACGCGTCGCGGGCGAAGGTGATGACGATGCAAGCGAGCGCGCGAAGAGAGGCGCGGTCGCGGGGGTTCGAGAAGACGTACGGATTGGGGACGCTGGGGACGCTGGGGGGCGATGGGGACGCGGCGGGGACGCGGCCGGAGATTCTGGCGATGCAGGCGGCGGCGAGAGCGCACTTGAAGCAGCAGCAACCGCAACCGCCGCCGACGACGGAGTGACGACGACGGAGCGAAAAATATATTTGTAACATCTACGAAGGTACTAGCTAGCTAGACGAGTCGAAGACTCGATAGTCGGCGGGCGCGATACGATAGAAGCACCACCTTCGAGGCCGACCACCTACACTACGCGTCCCACTCCGGGTGGTCGCCGTATCCGACGCCCGCGAACACGAGCCCGACCGCGGGCGCCGGCGGCGCGGTCGCCATCCGCCGCTCCCGCGCGCTCCCCCCAGCCCTCGACAACGCGAGCAAAACGTCCGACGTCGCGCCGCAGTTCGCCTCCCGCGCCGCCGTCGCGACCAGCACCCGCACCTGCTTCCGAAGGAACCTATCCGCGACGAGCTCGACGACACACACCGGCTGATGAGTTGAAGGATTTGTTGGAGTTTCGTCTTCGTCGCGAATCTCTTCGTCGCCGTCGCCGACGCTCGAGGGGACGCGCGAGAGAAACGCGCGCGCGACTTTCACTCGGCACGACGACGGCTTTCCCTGCGGCGTGTCCCTCGCGAACGCGGTCGCGTCCACGGTTTTCCCGCTCAGCTTCCTCAACATCGCGTCCACCGCGCTCGGATCGACGTCGTAGCTTTCGTCGCCGTCGCCGGTTTTCCCGTCGATTCGATCGATTCGATTGATCGGCAGGATGTACACGTACCGTCGCCACGTCGCCGCGAACGTCGCGTGGAATCGCTCCGTGACTTTCTCCGGCGCGCTCGTCACTCTCAGGGTCGTTCCATACGAGCGAATGTCGGGGTGGAGTTGAAAGGCGTCAGAAGCGGAGTTGAAAGGCGTCGAAGGCGGGGATTGAAAGCTAGGGACCCTGGGCGGAGAGAGTCGACGGCAAAAGTCCTAAAGGATCGGCGTTCACCACGCCGACGCGGTCGTATGGGGATCAGCGTATAGAACGCACCTCAACGCGCCCGCCCTCCCCGCCGGCGACCCCTCGTTCACCGCCGCGACAATCTCCGCGGGGTCGAGGTCGTTCAAGGTCCAGAACGAGACCGTCTGCGCGAGCGCGCTGACGCCCTTGTCCGTCCTCCCCGCGCACTGGATCGGGCGCTCTTTATCCCCGGCGAACAGCGGGTTCAACGCGCGTTGCATCGTCGCGACGACAGAGTGAGCGCCGGGCGTCCACTCCGCGCCGCCGCCGCCTGCACCGCCGCCGCGCTCGTCGTCGGGCGCGCGAAAGAGCGCGTCCGTGGCGCCGTCCGAGGGCAGCCACGCCCAGCCCGCGAACGCGGGTCCGTAGTACGCCACCGCGGCTTTGTACGTGTGTCTGGGTTTCTTCCCGCGTCGCGTCGGCGGGTGCGCGTCGAGTCGGACGCCGTCCTGGCCGACCCCGACGCCGCGGCAGACGCCCGCGGGCTGTAACGGCGAAGCGTCGTCCGTTACATTCGTCGCGCCGGCGCCTCGCGCCGGCGCCGGCGACAGGTCGCTCAGGCATCGCGTCCCGCGCGCGAGCGCGCGAACGAACCGCGCGACGCCGTCCCACGCGCGCTCGTCCTCGAGGAATCGACACGCGCGGACCGGGCCCATCGCCGCGCGGTTGAAGTGCATGCCCGCGCGGATCTCGCCGCCTAACAGCACGTCGTCGAAAACGTCGCCGTCGTCGTCGTCGCCGTCGATCGCGGGAGGCATCGGGAGGACGATGGTCAGGCTCGGGTGCGGCGCGCGCGGCAGATCGTCGGACGCCGCGCGCGACGGACGCGACCGCCCCTCGACCTCGCCGAGCCCTCCGGATGAAGAAGACGCCGACGGCGACGCGCGCGACGGCGCGCGCGCGGAGGACGACGACGACGCGCGCGCGCCGCCGCCGCGCCCCATGATGACGCGAGACGTGAGCAGCGCGGAAGAGAAAGCCGCGCACGCGCGCGCCGACATGCGCCGCCACGCCCCGCGCGCCTCCGAGTGCGACGGCGCGGGGACAGGATGGGACGCGAGGGCGCCGACTGCGACTGGAGCGCGCGCAGCGAGCGCGACGATTCGTTTCTCGGCTCCTCCGAGGAGTTACTAAACCGGCGCCGTCGCTCCGCGCGCGTCGACAGAGACGCGCGTCGATCGCGTCGCACGCGCCGCCCGCGGCGACGCGCGCGCCCGGGTCGACCTCGCTCGCGCCAAGGCGCGGACGCGCGCCGCGGAGCCGCGGCGTCCGCGCGCGTCGCCGCGGGAATCGCGCGGATCTCTCTCTCCCGGATCCGTCGTCGCGCGGGCGGGGCGTCGAAATAAATCACCGTCCGTCCGCCGCCGCGACGTCCGCGTCGACCGCCGCGACGCCGTCCGACATGATCGACGACGTCGCAACGAACGCGATGATCGACGTCACCGTGACGCGGACGCGCACGATCGCGGGCGCGGGCCCGCGTCGCGCGCTCGCGCTCGACGGCGCGAGCCGACGATGGCGCCCCGCGCTCGGCGGTGCGCGCGGCGCGGCGCTCTCATGACGTCGTCGTTCGTCCCGTCCCCGTCCCCGTCCCCGTCCCCGTCCCCGTCCCCGTCCCCGTCCCCGAACCCCGCTCCCTCCGCGTCGCGATTCCACTGACGAGACGCGCCGACTCCGCTATTCCGCAGACGACGACGCGATCGCGAGGTCGCGGTCGCCGCGCGTGGGCGACGTCTTCGGCTCGGAAGACGTCGGCGCGACGCTCCCGACGACGACGCCGACGCGGCCGCGACGTCTCGCCGCCGCGGAGAAGAAGATCAAAAAGATTGAAAACGCGTCGCCCGCGCGGAGACCCGCCGGACCGAAATCCGAGGCGCCGCCGACCGCGTCCCCTCCGTCGCTCTTCGCGTCTTCGAAATCATCACAACACGAACGCGACGACGACGCGATGATCGCCGCGGAGGACGTGCGCACGGGCGAAGACGCGACGCGGTACTTTTACGCGCGACGCCGCGACGCGACGGGGCGCGAGGTGAAATTTTTCCACTGCGTCCGCGCCGCGCCCGGGCGGTCGCACCACAAGCCGTACGATCTGCTCGTCGTGTCCAGGCAAGAGTGCGCGAAGCACGAGAGCTACTACACGTTCAGCGCGAGCGGCGTGACGCGCGTGTGCGTGCGGTCCGGGGAGGCGTCCGAACACATCGATCTCGCGCGGTGGGCGCGGGAGAAGTCCGCGTTCGACGCGTTGACGCGTCTGCCGTTCTTCAAGCATCACCGCGTGCGCAAGGCGTTCGATTTCTGGCGCTCGAACGTTCGAAAGGCGTCGTTCGAGCGGACGAAACGCGCGCTCATGAAGCGTTTATTCCACGCGAACGACACCTTCGTCCCCGCGCTCATGGACGTCTGCGCGATCGCGAGCGAGATCAAGACGGTCGCCGTCGTCCGCTGCGCGCCGGGCGCGACGACGCGGTTGAAAGATTTCGCCGACGCAGCCGCCGCGCAACGACGCGAGACGGCGAAACCCGCGTTCGAGGCGCTGTTCAAGCGCGCCACGCGCGCGGTCGAGCGCGTGTGCTCGGACGTCGCCGCGCACGCGGCGAAGTGCCGCGACGAGGTGAAAGACGTCGCGACGTTGAACGACGTCACGGGCGTGGATAACGTCCCGGGTCGAGCGCCGGATAAGACGCAGTCGATGACGGCGATCAAGGCGCGGAAAATCACGCGCGCGCGGACGTACCGCAGGGTGAACGACGAGGAGAAACGGCTCGGGGATTTCGTGCGTTTAGTCGATCACGTGTTGACGCAGGCGTTGGTCGAGCGCGCGACGACGACGACGGAGGAGGTCTTGTCTTTGCTCGCCGCGGGGCGACCCGTCGCCGGCGGCGGCGGGGGCGGCGCGGCGGTTTCGGCATCGTCCGCGTCCGCGTCCGCGTCCGCGTCCGCGTCGTCGTCGTCGTCGTCGTCGTCGTCGTTCCAAGCGGCGTCGAAAGGCGTCTTCACGACGACGATCAAGTTCACGCCCACGTCGATCGCGTTTCACCCTCCCAGAGAAGACGTCGCGCGCGTGATTCGCGACGACATCGTGGCCGGCGTCGTGCGAACGGTCAACGCCGCGCCTCGGATACTCCGCGCGCGCGCCTTCGTCGGCTTGTTCCCTTCGCTCTTCCCCCCCGGGGTGGACCCGCGAGACGTCTCCGTGGGTTTGGAACCCGCCGCGATCGTCCGCGACAGCGCGCGGTTCCGCGGCGCGGTGCGCGCGATCGACGCGACCATCGGGGACGACTTCGACGCCGCGGAGGCGTACGCGACGCAGGCGCGTTCTGTTTGTTCGTTCACGCTGGTCCCCATACGACTCCGTTCCTTAAGATGGACTCCCCCCCCCGGCGGGCGTTTCTCTTCGTGCACCCCTCGGTTTCGATCCCGACGCGCGCGCCGCGATGGATGCCTTTGAACGCCGACTGACTCGCCCCCGAACGCCGCCCGCCCCGACGCGACGTCGCTTCGCGCGGGAAATTACCCGCAGTTTGAGGCGCGTTCTATACACTGGTCCCCATACGACCGCGTTGGCGTGGTGAACGCCGATCCTTAAGGACTTTTGCCGTCGTCTCTCTCCGCCCACCCCTCGCTTTCAATCCCCTCCCTCGACGCCTTTCAACTCCAACTGACGCCTTTCAACTCCACCCCGACGTCGCTTTGTATGGAACGACCCTGAGGCGCACCGACCGATTCACGATTTCGGCTCGACGTGGTCCCGCGAGGCGTACGAGACCGGGAGCGCGCACACGCTGACGAGCTACCGGCGCGACATCGCGCAGCAGCGAGAGTGGCGCGCCGCGATCGAGAAGATGAAGATCTCGTGCGTCATCGGACACCTCCACGTGGACACCCGACCGTTACGACAGGCGTTATCGCCCATCACGCAGCGCGCCGTGGACGACATCAAGGCGTCGGTGCTGGACGCCGCGCGCCGCGAAGCGACAACGACGATGGCCCGCTATAAGCGCCGCAACGAGACGCTCGCGAGGCGCAAAGAAGGCCTCGACGCGTTCGTCCAGTTCGCGCGCGCGCAAGCCGACGCCGTCGCCTCGCACGCGGCGCACGTCGACGACGCGGTCACCGTCGACGGCCTCTACGAGGTGCGTTCTATACACTGGTCCCCATACGACCCCGTCGGCGTTGTGAACGCCGATCCTTAAGGACTTTGCCCGGCGCGTCTCTCCGCCCATCCCTCGGTTTCAATCCCCGACCTCGACGCCTTTCAACTCCACCTGACGCCTTTCAACTCCACCCCGACATTCAGCTCCTCGCGTCCGCGGACGCCAAGGTGCCGACGAAGGACCTCGTCGCGCGCGACGACCTGCACGCGTGCGCGCGCGCGTACGAGGACGCGATGGACGCCGCGCGGGAGCACATCGAGAGCAACCGACACGAGATGATCGCGGCGTTGGAGGGGGTCGTCCACGACGTCGACGAGGAGGCGCTGCGAGTTTTGAGCGCCGTGCTCGGGTGCGTCGTATACTGTACTGTACTTTTTTTCACCCACCCCGTGCCCGTGTGTTCAACGTTTGATCGCGTCCCTTTTCAACTGACCGACGGACTACATATTTATGTATGGAACGACCCACGACAGCGGCGTCGTCGCGGACCCGTCGAGCGACGCGGCGGCGACGGTGCGAGAGCTCGAGACGAAGCGACGCGAGATCGACGCGCTCAAGCAGCGCGCGGGTACGTGCCGCGCGCACCAGAAAACGTTCGCGCTGCGCGAGGACGACTTCTCGAACTTGGCGATGACGGACGCCGCGTGCGTCGCCAAGACGGAGACGTGGCGGACGTTGGCGGAGCTGGAGGCTTCCGTCGCCGGGTGGTTCGACGGGCCGATCAAGGAGATCGCTTTCGAGGACGTCGCCGACGCGCTGGAGCGCGTGGACGCGGCGGCGCTGCGGATGGGCAAGGCGAACAGGGACGATCGAGTCGTGTTTCGGATAACGGACACCGCGAGTGCGTTTAAGACGACGTCGCCGATCCTTCAAGAGCTGTCGAATCGGGTGTTACGGGACCGGCACTGGGAGAAGATTTTCGCGCTCGTCGGGAAAGAGTACGCCGATCACGCGGCGGCGGCGTCGTTCTCGCTGCGGTGGCTCCTCGGTCTCGGTCTGGACGCCGACGCGAACGCGCACGAGGTTTCCAAAATCAGCGCGGTCGCGAACAAAGAGCACGCGCTCGAGAAGGCGCTGCGGAAGATGCGCGACGACTGGGACGGCGTCGCGTTTAAAGTGTTTCCGTACAAAGACACGGGCACGCACGTCGTCGGCGGCGTGGACGACGTGCAGCAGTTACTCGACGACCACCTCGTGAAGACCGCGAGCATGCGCGCGAGCTCGTTCATCAAGCCGTTCGAGCTCGTCGCGTCATCGTGGGAGGAGACGCTGAAGACGTTACAAGAGATGCTCGACAACTGGCTGTCGTGTCAGAGCGCGTGGCAGTATCTCGAGCCGATTTTCAGCAGCGAGGATATCATGAAGCAGATGCCCGAAGAGGGCTCGAAGTTCAACACCGTGGACCAAATATTCCGCGAAATTCAAGACGCGACGGCGGCGAAACCGCACGCGCTCGACATCGCGAAGGACAAACAGCGTCTGGACGACCTCGCGGAGGCGAACACGCTCTTGGACGCGATACAAAAAGGCCTCGCGGCGTACCTCGAAGTAAAACGCGTCGCGTTCCCGCGTTTTTTTTTCCTCTCCAACGACGAGATGCTCGAGATCCTCTCCGAGACGAAGGACCCGACGCGCGTGCAGCCGCACTTGCAAAAGTGCTTCGAAGGCATCCACGAGGTCGAGTTCAAGTCGCGCGGCGGCGGCGGCGGCGGCGGCGCGGGCGGCGACGACCTCCTTCGCGACGGCGCCGCCGCGAGCTCGGTCGACGGCCTGGAGATCGTGGGCATGTGCTCCGTGGAAGGCGAGCGCGTGGAATTCGTCACGAACGTCAGGCCCGCCGCGGCGGGCGCGCAAGTCGAGAAGTGGCTCGTGCGCGTCGAGTTTTCCATGCTCGAGGCGACCAAGTCGCAGTGCTCGCGCGCGAACGTCGATTACCCGACGCGCATTCGGACCGAGTGGGCGACGCGGTGGCCCGGGCAAGCTGTGCTCGTCGTCTCCGCCGCGCACTGGACGCACGCGTGCGCGGACGCGCTTCGAAGGGAGGGCGCGGCGGAGAGAGGCGCGGTGGCGGCGTGCGCGGCCGAGTGCACGAAGGTGCGTTCTGCGAACGTTTTTCACCCACCCTTTGGTTTCAACATGTGATCGCTTCCCCCTTTCAACTGACCGATGAATGAACTGTTTTTTGCATGGAAACGCGCGAAGCAACTCACGGAGACGGTGGACCTCGTGCGAGGGGAGATGACGTCGCTGCACCGGAAGACCGTGTCCGCGCTGGTCGTCATGGACGTGCACGCGCGCGACGTCGTCGCCGGGATGGCGGCGAAAGGGACGAGCAGCGAGGGTGATTTCGAGTGGCTGTCGCAGCTGCGAACGTACTTTGAATCCGACGCCGGCGACGGCGGCGGCGGCGGCGGCGGCGGCGGCGGCGGCGGCGGCGGCGGCGACCCTCCTCCTTCCGAGACCGTCATCGCGCGGATGATGAACGCGTCGATCGAGTACGGGTTCGAGTACCTCGGGAACTCCTCGCGGCTCGTGATCACGCCGCTGACGGACCGGTGCTACCGGACGCTGATGGGCGCGATCCACCTCAACCTGGGCGGCGCCCCCGAGGGCCCCGCGGGGACGGGCAAGACGGAGACGACGAAGGACCTCGCCAAGGCGCTCGCGCGGCAGTGCGTCGTGTTCAACTGCTCGGACTCGCTGGATTACCACACGATGGGGAAGTTCTTCAAAGGGCTCGCGTCCAGCGGCGCGTGGGCGTGCTTCGACGAGTTCAACAGGATAAACTTGGAGGTGCTCTCCGTCGTGGCGCAGCAAGTGTTGGAGATACAGATCGCGGTGAAGAACAGAGTCAAGACGTTCGTGTTCGAAGGCAGCGAGCTTCCGCTGCGACTGAGCTGCAACGTGTTCATAACGATGAACCCCGGGTACGCCGGGCGCTCGGAGCTGCCGGATAACCTCAAGGCGCTGTTTCGCACCGTGGCGATGATGGTTCCAGATTACGCGTTGATCTCCGAGATTTTACTCTACTCGGACGGCTACCTCCAGGCGAGAGATTGCGCCCGGAAGATCGTCGCGACGTACCGCCTGTGCAGCGAGCAGCTCTCGTCGCAGGACCACTACGACTACGGCATGCGCGCGGTCATCGCGGTGTTGCGAGCGGCCGGGAACTTGAAGCGGAAGCACCCGGACGCGGACGAGTTCCAACTCACGCTGCGCAGCATCGTCGACGTCAACGCGTGTAAGTTTCTCTCGCACGACGTGCCGCTCTTCAACGGCATCGTCCGCGATCTGTTCCCGGGCGTGGAGCTGCCGCCGCCAGACCACGGTGCGCTGGACGACGCGCTCAATCGCGCGTGCGAGGCGATGAACGCGCAGCCGCATCCGTACTTTCTTCAGAAGTGCGTCCAGCTTCGCGAGATGATCGTCGTTCGACACGGCTTGATGCTCGTCGGCGAGCCGTTCAGCGGGAAGACGACCGCGCTGCGCGTGCTCGCGGCGTCGCTCACGTCGCTCTCCGAGGCGGACGTCCCGGGCGAGACCCCGGTGACGTGCGTGTTCTTGAACCCGAAGGCGGTGACGATGGGTCAGCTGTACGGCGAGAGCGACCCGATCACCGCGGAGTGGCGCGACGGCGTGCTCGCCGTGCAATTTCGTAAGCTCGCGTCGTCGCGCGCCGACGAGCGCAAGTGGCTCGTCATGGACGGCCCCGTCGACGCGCTGTGGATCGAGAACATGAACACGGTGCTGGACGACAACAAGAAGCTGTGCCTGCCGAACGCGGAGATCATCGCGATGCGCGGCGCGATGAACATGATCTTCGAGGTGTCCGACCTGGCCGTCGCGTCCCCGGCGACGGTGTCTCGGTGCGGGATGGTCTACCTCGAGCCGTCGCAGCTCGGTTGGCGCCCGGCGCTGAAGTCGTGGCTTCGCACGATGGACGGTCGCCTCGCGCGGAAGTCGATCGAGCGCGTCGAGGGCCTGTTCGAGTGGGCGCTTCCGCCGATGCTCGCGGTCAAGAAGCGCGCGCTCCGCGCGGTGTCCCCCGCGTCGGACGCGAACCTCGCGGCGTCGTGTCGCCGGCTGTTTAAGGCGCGTTCTATCTCACACTGGTCCCCGTACGACCGCGTCGGCGTGGTGAACGCCGTTCCTTAAGGACTTTCTCTCCCGGCGCATCTCTCCGCCCATCCCTCGGTTTCAATCCCCGCCATCGACGCCTTTCAACTCCGTCTGACGCCTTTCAACTCCACCCCGACGTTCGCTCGTACGGACCCTCGACCCCGAGGCGCTGCTGGCGGATCTCACCGGCATCGGCGCCGCGCGCGAGGACGAGGACGGCGACGACGACGCCGCGGGCGACGTCGACGTCTCGGGCGACGACGACGGCGACGGGAACGGCGACGGCGACGGCGACGCGACCGCGACCGCGACCGCGACGAGAGAGCCGGTCTCAGAGAGGGCGTCGAAGTGGGTCAAGAGAGGGTCGAAATTCATCGACATCGCGCTCGTCGCGCCCGTCATCGACGCGGTGTTCCTCTTCTCGCTCACGTGGAGCGTCGGCGCGTGCACGGACGCCGCCGGGAGGGTCGTCTTCGACGACGCCCTGCGCGCGCTCGTGCACGGCGAGACCCCCCCTGCTTCGGAGTCGGAGGGAGGAGGAAAGAGAGTGACGCTGCGGTGCGACCTCCCGCCGCCGCTCCTCCGCCGCGACCGCGCGTCCGCCGACGCCGCCGCCGACGACGACGCCGCCGCCGCCGCGACCGGGAGTACCGTGTTCGACTACGTCCTCAAGCGCGCGTCCCCGCGCGACGCGACGAAGTTCGCGTGGATCCCGTGGACGTCCACGATCAAACCCGCGGACGAGATCATCCCCCCGGGCTCCTCCTTCGGCTCGATCCTCGTCCCCACCGCGGACGGCGCGCGCTGCGCGTACCTCCTCGACGTCGCGACACGCCGCGCCAAGGCGCGTTCTATCTCACACTGGTCCCCATACGACCGCGTCGGCGTGGTGAACGCCGTTCCTTGAGGACTTTCTCTCCCGGCGATTCTCTCCGCCCATCACCCCTCGCTGGTTTCAATCCCGACGCGCCTCGATGCCTTTCAACTCCGCTTCTGACGCCTTTCAACTCCACTCCGATATCATCGCTCGAAGGCGCCGCTGCTCCTGTGCGGCCCCACCGGCACCGGGAAGACCGCGTACGTCTCCCGGTACCTCCGCGGTCTCGACAAGGAGACGCACGAGGCGAGCGTGATCGGGTTCAGCGCGCGCACGTCCGCGAACGCGACGCAGGAGCAGGTGGATCTGCGGCTGGATAAGCGGCGGAGAGGCGAGTACGGGCCGCCTCCGGGGAAACGCGCGATTTTCTTCGTCGACGACTTGAACCTCCCGGCTCGAGACGCGTACGGGTCGCAGCCGCCGATCGAGCTCTTAAGGCAGTTCGAGGACCACGGCGGGTGGTACGGGCGGGATAACGCGTTCAGGAGCGTGGTGCAGACGTCTTTCGTCGCCGCCATGGCGCCCGCGGGCGGGGGACGGCACCCGGTCACGGAGCGCTACCTGCGGCATTTTTCGCTCCTCGCCGTCGCGGACATCGCGGGGGGCACGTTGAGAGGGATCTTCGAGCGCATCTTGCGGTGGTACCACGATCAAGGCGGCTTCGACGACGCGATAAAAAACCTGGTCCCCTCGATCGTGACCGCGACGTTGTCGATATACGAGTCGTGCCTCGCGTCGCTTCTCCCGACGCCGGCCAAGTCGCACTACACGTTCAACCTGCGCGACTTCGCGCGCGTGATTCAGGGCGTGACGCTGATGCGACGCGAGTCGATCCCGACCGCGACCGCGACCGACCAAGGTGCGTTCTTCTCACACTGGTTCCCATACGACCGCGTTGGCGTGGTGAACGCCGATCCTTAAGGACTTTTCCCGGCGCATCTCTCCGCGCACCCATCGCTTTCAATCCCCGCCCGCGATGCCTTTCAACTCCAACTGACGACTTTCAACTCCACCCTTTCAACTCCATTCTAGGGGGCGAAGACGGCGTCCAGCTGTATCGCCGACTGTGGGTGCACGAGACGTTCAGGGTGTTCGGCGACCGGCTCGCGGACGACGACGACGTGGCGTGGCTGCTATCGAGGGTGAAAGACGTCACGCGCGAGGCGTTCGGGGTGCGTTTCGACGACCTCATGTCGCGCTTGCGCGAGGCGGGCTCGACGACGATCGACACGGACGACATGCGACGGTGCGTCTTCGGCGATTACATGCGCGGACCGGCGACCGACGACGACGACGACGACGACGGCAGCGGCGACGAGGACGGCTGCGTCGAGGACGACGACGCGATCGTCGTCGCGTCTTCTCGTCGTCGCCGCGCGTACGCGGAGATCACGGACGTGGACGCGCTCGTGAAGACCCTGGAGCGGTACCTCGACTCGCACAACGCGGCGTCGACGTCGCCGATGAACCTCGCGATGTTTCTGTACACCGCCGAGCACGTGTCGAGGATCACGCGCGTGTTGGGGCAGCCCGGCGGGTCGTTGCTCCTCGTCGGCGTCGGCGGTTCCGGGAGGCAGTCGCTCACGCGTCTGTCCGCGCACGTGTGCGGTATGCGACTGGAGCGCGTGGAGATCTCGAAAACGTACGGCGTCGCGGAGTGGAGGGAAGACTTGAAAAAGATGCTCCGAGCCTCCGGCGGCGCGGGCGAGCACGTCGTCTTCCTCCTCTCGGACGCGCAGATAAAGACCGAGGCGTTCGTGGAGGACGTGAACAACCTTCTGAACGCCGGGGAGGTGCCGTGCATGTTCACCCCGGACGAGCGCGCCGCGTTGATCGAAACCATAAGACCCGCGGGGAACGCCGCCGGGTTTGAATCCCCGCTCGAGCTCTGGGGGTTCTTCACGCGGCGGTGCAAGGACTTCACGCACGTGTGCTTCTGCACGTCCCCGATCGGGGAAGCGTTCAGGGAGCGTCTGAAGCAGTTCCCGAGCCTCGTGAACTGCTGCACGATCGACTGGTTTAGGCCGTGGCCCGTGGACGCGCTCGAGGCGGTGGCGAAAAAGTTTGTCGGCGACGTCGACGATTTGGACGACGACGTCCGACGGTCGCTCGTGCGAGTGTGTAAACAGTTCCACGGCGACGTCGCGGAGGCGTCCGGGAGGTTTTTGCGCGAGGAGGGAAGGCACAACTACGTCACGCCGACGTCGTACTTGGAGCTTCTGACGTCGTTCGACGCGCTCTTACGCGCGAAGCGCGCGGAGATTTCAAACGCCAAGTCGCGGTACGAGATTGGGTTACAAAAGATAGCCTCCGCGTCGACGCAAGTCGCGACGATGCAAACGGAGCTGAACGCGCTGAAACCGGAGCTCATCAAGACCGTGGGCGAGGTCGAGATCTTGATGACGCAGATCGCGAAAGAAAAAGTCGAGGTCGTCGAGCCAAAGACGCGAGCCGCCAAGGAGGCGGAAGCCGTCGCCGCCGACGGCGCCGCGAAAGCGAAAGCGGTGAAAGACGAGTGCGAGGGCATGCTGGAGAAGGCCATGCCCATACTCAATTCCGCGATCGCGGCGCTGGATACGTTGAAACCGGCGGACATCAACTACGTGAAAGGTCTGAAGAACCCCCCGGCCGCGATCAAGCTCGTCATGGAGGCCGTCTGCGTCGTGCTCGAGGTGAAACCGAACCGGTCGAAGGACGGCGACAACCGAGAGATCGTGGACTACTGGAAGCCGTCGTTGGGGCTCCTGAACGACAAGAATTTCCTCGAGACGCTGAAGAACTACGACAAGGACAACATCCCGACGAAGGTCATCGCGCGCATTCGCGAGAAGTACACCTCGAACGAGGACTTCACCCCCGAGAAGGCCGCGAACGCTTCCGCGGCGGCGGAGGGCTTGTGCAAGTGGGTGTGCGCCATGGACGAGTACGAGAAAGTATCGAGGCTCGTCAAGCCGAAGCAAGAAGCGCTCGCGGAGGCGCAGGGCGAGTACGACGTCTTGATGACCGGTCTGAGAGAGACGCAAGCGGAACTGCGCGAGCTCGTGGACAAGCTCGAGGGCATGGAGCGCGAGCTGGAGCAAAACACGAAGAAGAAGAACCAACTCTCGGACGACGTCGACCTGTGCACCGTCAAGCTCGAGCGCGCGGAAAAGCTCATCGCGGGGCTCGGCGGCGAGAACGCTCGGTGGACGAAGGAAGCGACGCGGTTGGGGGAGCGATACGCGCGCCTCACCGGCGACGTCCTCGTCTGCGCGGGGGTCATATCCTACCTCGGCGCGTTCACGGGGACGTATCGCGACGAGATGACGTCGCGGTGGGTCGACGCGTGCGCGCGGGAGAACATCCCGCGGTCGCCGTCCTTCTCGCTCGCGGGCGTGCTCGGGGATCCGGTGAAGATACGCGAGTGGCACATCGCGGGGCTGCCGAACGACTCGTTCAGCGTGGACAACGGGATCATCGTCGATAACGCGCGGCGGTGGCCGCTGATGATCGACCCGCGGCAGCAGGCCAACGCGTGGATCAAGCGGAAAGAACGCGGGAACACGCTGCAGGTCATCAAGCTCTCGCCGAACGACGGTGGGTACGTCCGGACGTTAGAGAACGCGATCACGTTCGGGCTGCCCGTGCTTCTTGAGAACGTCGGGGAGGAGCTGGACCCGCTCTTGGAGCCGTTGCTTCTTAAGCAGGTGTTTAAACAAGCCGGGGTGGAGTGCATGCGCTTGGGCGACGCCGTCGTCGAGTACTCCGCGGATTTTCGATTTTACGTCACGTCCAAGTTACGGAACCCGCATTACTTGCCGGAGACCGCGGTGAAGGTGACGCTTCTGAATTTCACGCTCACGCCGGAAGGTCTCGGGGACCAGCTCTTGGGCGTCGTCGTCGCGAAAGAGAGGCCGGACCTCGAGACCGCGAAGAACGACCTCGTGATGCGATCCGCGGGGAACAAGCGACGGCTAAAAGAAATCGAGGACAAAATCCTTCAAGTCTTGTCGTCGTCGCGAGGGAACATCTTAGAAGACGAGACCGCGATCAAGGCCATCTCGGACGCGAAGGCGGTCTCGAACGAGATCGCGACCGCGCAGACGATCGCGGACGAGACCGAGCGCGAGATCGACGCCGCGAGAGGGAGCTACAAACCCGCGGGAGAGTACTCCGCGGTGCTGTTTTTCGCCATCAGCGAACTCGCCAACGTCGAGCCGATGTATCAGTACTCGTTGGGGTGGTTCATCGGGCTGTTCATCGCGTCCATCGCCGCCGCGACCGCTTCCGAGGACGTGCGCACCAGGCTCGAGCACATCGAGACCCACTTCCTTTTCGCGCTGTACCGGAACGTGTGCCGGTCGCTGTTCGAGAAGGACAAGCTGTTGTTCGCGTTTTCGCTGTGCGTCGAGGTGTTACGCGCGCGAGGGGAGATCGACGCCGAGGAGTGGAGTTTCTTGCTCACCGGCGGCATAGGCGGCGGCGCGGGCGAGGATGCCTGCGGTACCAGCAGCGCGAAACTGAACGACGACGACGTCTCCGAAGAGGACACGTCGTGGATCACGCAAAAGTGCCGGAGCGAGCTGTCGCGCGTCTCGAAGCTCCCCGCGTTTGAAGGCGTCGCCGCGTCCGTCTCCGACGACCCGAAGGCGTGGCGCGCGGTGTACGACGACGACGCGCCGCACGCGTCGGCGTTCCCGTCGCCGTTCCAGGACGCGCTCACGACGTTCCAGAAGCTTCTCCTCGTGCGCTGCGTTCGCCCGGATAAGCTCGTCCCCGCGGTCAGGGATTTCGTGCGGCGGCACCTCGGGGAGAGGTACGCGCATCCGCCAGCGTTTCGTTTGGAGAGCTGCTACGACGACAGCGCGTCGACGACGCCGCTCGTGTTCGTCCTCTCCCCGGGGTCTGACCCCATGGCGGGTCTGCTTCAGTTCGCGGACGAGCGCGGGATGTCCGATCGCATCTCCTACATATCGCTCGGGCAAGGCCAGGGCCCGAAAGCGGCGGCGATGATACGCGAGGGGAAGGAGGCGGGGAGTTGGGTCGTGTTGCAGAACTGCCACCTCGCGCCGTCGTGGATGCCGGCGTTGGATACCATCGTCGAAGAGTTGGTGAGCGACGCGGACGACGCCAGCTGTCGCGCGCACGCGGATTTCCGGCTGTGGATGACGGCGTATCCGTCGAAAGACTTCCCGGTGAACATCCTTCAAAACTCGGTGAAGATGACGAACGAGCCCCCGAAAGGCGTCAGGGCGAACATGCTTCAGACGCTGCGCGCGGAGCCCATCGGCAACTTGGACTTTTTCGACGGATGCTCGAAACCGAAGCCGTTCAAAGCGCTCCTGTTCGGTCTGTGCTTCTTCCACGCCGTCGTCCAGGAGCGCAGGAAGTTCGGGCCGTTGGGATGGAACATCCCGTACGGGTTCGACGACGGCGACTTGCGCATTTCCGCGCGGCAACTGCGCGCGTTCGTGGACGAGAACGATAGCCTCCCCCTAGACGCGTTGCGATACGCCACGGGCGAGTGCAACTACGGCGGGCGCGTCACGGACGACAAAGACCGCGTGCTTCTGAACGCGCTGTTGTCCAAGTGCTACTGCGAGGACATCGTGGAGAAACCCCCGGGGGAGTACGCGCTCACGGAGAGCGGTCTGTACGTCCTGCCGTGCGTCTCGCCGTCCATGGAGACGATGACGGAGTACGTGCGGTCGTTGCCCGCGCTGCCCTCGCCGGAAGCGTTCGGGATGCACCCGAACGCGGATATCACGAAAGATAACGCGGACACGGGCGTGATGCTATCGTCGCTGCTGTTGATGACGCGGAGCGGTGGCGGGAAGGGCGGGAAGGGCGAGGGCGGCGGCGGCGGCGGCGCCGGGAAGAGCCAAAATAACGTCTCCGCGGTCGTTCACGAGTTCCTCGAGTCGCTCCCCGACGACTTCGACGTCGACGCCGCGCGCCGTCGGTGGCCGGCGACGTACGAGCAGTCCATGAACGCGGTGTTGACCCAAGAGATGACGCGCTTCAACCGACTCTTGGACGTCATTCGGAGCTCGTTGACCGCGATCGCGGCCGCGATCAAAGGTCAGGCGATCATGTCCAGCGACAACGACGCGGCGTGCGAGGCGCTGCGCGTCAACGCCGTGCCAATCACCTGGCGCCACGTGTCTTACCCGTCGCTGAAGCCCGCGGCGTCGTACCTCGCGGACCTGCGCGCGCGCGTGGAGACGTTCCAGAGATGGAGCGAGCGCGGCCCGCCCGCGGTGCATTGGATGAGCGGCTTCTTCTTCGTGCACTCGTTTCTCACCGCCGCGTTGCAAAATTTCGCGCGGGCGACGCGCGCGCCGATCGACGAGGTGTCGTTTCAGTTCGCCCCGCTCGGGATGGACCCTCACGCGTACGACGACGCCGCGCCGGAGGAGGGCGTGTACGTCCGCGGGCTCTTCTTGGAAGGGTGCGACTGGGACGTCGAGCGGCGCGTTCTCAGGGAGGCGGCGCCGAAGGTTCTCTTCGCGAACGCGCCCGTGTTTTGGCTGCGGCCGCGGCGGCGACGCGCCGGCGCCGACGCGGACGCGGACGCCGACGCGGCCGCCGAGGGAGAGAACGCCGCCGCGGCCAACACGTATCGGTGCCCGGTGTACCGGACGCAGGAGCGCAGGGGCGAGCTCGCGACGACGGGGCACTCGACGAATTTCGTGATGTTCATGGACGTGCCGTCGGACGCGCCGAGCGATCATTGGGTCCTGCGCGGGGCGGCGATGATCACGAGTCTCGCGGAGTGAAGAAACGTCGACGGGCGAGGAGGATGGAAGTACTTCCGTGGTGGTGTATTTATGACGTGTTCTTGTATATACTAGTATTATCTCTTCCGACGCGCTTGCGCTGTAAAAAATCATCCGTCCGACCGTCCGTCCGTCGTCCCGTCCGCGACGGCTCGCTCAGAGCCCCTCGATCGGGACGCCTAAAAATTTCGCGAGGTCCGCGGCTTGCTTCTCCACCTCAGCGAGCGTGAGCGGCTGCCCGATCCTCGTCAGCGGAATGTCGCTCTTCCCCTTGCACCGGACGTACACCACCCGTCTCGGGTTCACGCCGTCGGATATCTCCACGCGCACAGCCTGGACGTCCGCGAGCGACGACACGAGGTTGATCCTCCGGTTGTTCCCGGGGAAGCCGTAGCGAAAGATGCGCATGATGCCTTCTTCCTTGTTGAACTCGTTGTACCCCGCGCCGACGTCCCAGTTGATCGTGAGCCACAAGTACGTCGCGAGCAGCGAGCCGGCGACGCCGTAGAAGCTCATGACGAGCCCTTGCGGAAAGAACTTGATCTCGCTCGCGTCCAGGAAGAAGAGCAGGTTGTGCTCGATGTACGACGACGCGCCGGTGATGAGGAACCCCGTCGCGCCGATGGAGACGACGCCGGCCCAGAAGTAGTTGCTGAAGCGCTTGGCGCCGACGACGGGGTCGATCATCACGCTGTCGTTCGCCACCTTCTTGAACTGCGACTCGAACATGGAGCCCGCGCCCTCGCTCTCGGGGACCGCGTCCGCGCGCGTGAGGACGCGGCGGCGGGACCCGCTCGCCGCGCGTCTCGACGCCGCGCCGCGAGAGATCATGGCGAGCGGCGTCCCGGCGACCGCCGCGCGGCGCGCGGGGAGGGACGCGCGCGGGCCCGCGGGCGCGCGGCGCGAGGACGCGGAGGGCGCGGTCGCCGCGCGGGCGGCGACCGCGGGCGCGCCGCGGACGGCTGCTAAGGCGCTCATCGTTGGACCTGGCGCGGGAGCGTGCGCGTTGTGCGGGCCGCCGGCGCGATCGATCTCTGGCTCTTATCGCTCGCGAGAGGGAGATCTTCGGCGACACGTCGTCGTCGCGGTCGGTCGGCCCCACCCTAAACTTCCGCTCGGTTTAGTCCGAGGGTCGATCGGGAGAGCGGCTTCTGAACGGCAGATTTCCGCTTTCTTCCGCTCAGTTTAGTCCGAGGCCTGATGAGCGAGTTTTTTTTGAAGCGCCAGCGGAGGTGCGACAACCACCGTCGAGCGACGACAGAGACGAGCGCGCCGGTGCCTGATGGCGGCTTCACGCGCGATGGCGACGCCGAGGGCGATGCCGACGGTCACCCCCCGTCGCGGAGCGCCCGCGACGTCGGCGGCGCCCGCGCGCGCGGCGGCGAGGTCGAGATTGGCGTCCGCGACGACGACGACGACGACGACGACGACGACGACGACGACGTTCGCTCGCCGCCGATCGCGCGCCGTCGCGTCCGCGTCCGCCGGCGGCGGCCGAACCCCGGTGTACCACGACGACGACGACGTCCTCAGCAGCGTCGACGCGGACGACGACCCGTCGTCCGCCTCCGCCTCCGAGCGCGCCGCCGCCTCCGAGCGCGACGTCGCCGCCGCGTTCGCGTCGAATCGCAGCCGCTCCGCGCCGTCCGTCGCGGACCTCCTGAAGAACCCCGTCAAGTTCGCGGGCGACGTCGCGGCGGCGATCCCCACGGGCGCGTCGCGCATCATGAGCGAGAAGGTCCGCGACGTCGTCGTCCCGGTGAACGCGCTCGAGGCGGAGATGAAAGCGCTGAGCGGCGAGGCGCTGCGAGCCAAGACGATCGAGTTCAAGCGACGGATCTCCCCGAAGGGACCCGACGGCGCGCCCCCGTCCGAAACCCTGGACGACATCCTCGTCGAGGCGTTCGCGGTCGTCCGCGAGGCGGCGCGACGCGAGCTCGACATGCGGCACTTCGACGTCCAGCTCGTCGGCGGCGCGCTGCTCCACGACGGATGCGTCTGCGAGATGGCCACCGGGGAGGGAAAAACGTTAACCTCGACGCTCCCCGCCTACCTCAACGCGCTGACGGGCGAGGGCGTGCACGTCGTCACCGTGAACGACTACCTCGCGCGGAGAGACGCGGAGTGGATGGGGCGCGTGCACAAAGCGCTGGGTCTGAGGGTGGGCGTGATACAGCAGGACATGGACGCGGAGGAGAGGCGGGACGCGTACGACGCGGACATCACGTACGTCACGAATCAGGAGATCGGCTTCGATTACCTCCGCGATAACATGGCGACCGAAGCGAGCGAGCTCGTGATGCGACGACGGGTCAACTTCGCGATCGTGGACGAGGTGGACAGCGTGCTCATCGACGAAGGGAGGAACCCGCTGCTCATCACCGGGCCGGCGACGGAGGGGGACGACGAGATGCGAAAGTACGTCGTCGCGTCGGGCGTCGCGGCGCAGATGCGAGAGGGGCTGGACTACACCGTGGACCGCAAGCAGAAGACCGCGGACCTCACCGAGCGCGGGATGATGGTCGCGGAGCAGCTTCTGGGGGTGGAGGACGTGTGGGACACGTACGACCCGTGGGGGCGGTACGTTTTACTCGCGGTGAAGGCCAAGGCGTTGTACCTGAGAGACGTGCAGTACATCGTACGGGAAGGGCAGGTGATGATCGTGGACGAGAGCACGGGGCGCGTGCAGGCGAACCGGCGGTGGAACGATAACATTCACCAGGCGGTCGAGGCGAAGGAGGGCGTGGAGATCAAGCGCGAGAACACGACCGTGGCGTCGATATCGTACCAGTGCCTGTTCAAGCTGTACGAGAAGCTGTCCGGGATGACGGGCACCGCGTCCACGGAGGCGGAGGAGCTCTACACGACGTACGGGTTAAACGTGATCACGGTCCCGACGCACCGGCCGAGCAAGCGGGTGGATAAGCCGCACGCGATGTTTCGAACCGCGGCGGCGCGGTGGAACGCGGTCGCGGACCTTGTCGTGTCGTGTCACTGGGAGGGGCGGCCGGTGCTCGTGGGGACGACGTCGGTGGAGCACTCGGAGTATTTATCGTCTCTGTTGTCCGAGTATCGGTGGCGAGCCTCGGACGGGCGGCTCGTGCAGGGCGTCCCGCACAAGCTTCTGAACGCGCGGCCGCAGCTCGCGGCGAGGGAGGCGGAGGTGGTGGCGCAGGCGGGGCGCGAGCACGCGGTGACGATCGCGACCAACATGGCGGGTCGCGGCACCGACATCGTCTTGGGCGGCAACCCCCCGGGGCTCGCGCGTCTCTACCTGGAGCGCCTTTTGCTCCCGAAACTGTCCTCCGGGTCGCTCGAGGCGGACGACGCGCTCGAGCCGAACCCCATGGCGCACGTGCAGACGCGTAACGCCACGGACGCGGCCGTTCAAGCCGCGGTCGGTCTCGCGTTCTTCACCGCGAAGAGCGACGACGCGTTGCCGGTATCCGCGGAGAGCGTCTTCGCGCTCGTGTCCGAGGCTGTTGAGCACGCGGAGCAAATCTTGCGCGGCGGCGCGGTGAAAGCCGCCGCGGAGAAGGTCGCGGAAGACCAAGAGCGCGCGAGAGGCGGGCCGAACCCGGTCGTGGACGCGCTGAGAGCCGCGGCGATCGAGCTGCTCGCGGACGCGCAGACCCAGGCGCGTTCTATACACTGGTCCCCATACGACCGCGTCGGCGTGGTGAACGCCGTTTCTTAAGGATTTTTCTCGGCGTGTCTCTCCGCCCAGGGTCCCTCGCTTTCAACCCCCGACCTCGACGCCTTTCAACTCCAACTGACGCCTATGAACTCCACCCCGACATCGCTTTGTATGGAATGGCCCTCACAGTGCGACGCGGAAGCCGTGCACGTGCGCGAGAAGGGCGGGTTACAAGTCATCGGCACCGCGCTGCACGACTCGCGGCGGATCGATAACCAGCTGCGCGGCAGAGCCGGGAGGCAGGGCGACCCGGGGAGCACGATCTTCTGTCTGTCCATGGAGGACGAGCTCATGGCGATCTACTGCCCCGGGTGGGCCTCGAGTTCGGTGTGGGACTGGAGCGGCATGGACGAGGACATGCCTCTGTACTCCTCCGTCGTGGACAACCAGCTCGCGTCGATACAGGCCAACATCGAGGACTTCCACGCGTCGCATCGCACGAGCACGTACGAGACGGATCGCATCATCGACGGGCAGCGCGACGCGATTTATAACGTCCGACGACGCGTGTTGCTCGAAGGGCAGCAGCCGTTGCGCGAGCGTCTGTTTCGCTACGTCGAGTGGATCGTCGACGACGCGTGCGAACGCGCGGGCGTGGACGGCCTGCGCGCGATCGAGGACTGGGACGTCGACGGCGCGCTCGCGGACTTGCGGACCGTGTTCGCGTCGCGACGGGATCAGTGGCTGAACGAGAGCGGACGCGAGATGGGCGCGTTTCCGCACTATCTTCCGGGCGCGACGGGGGACGCGATTAAGACGGCGTTGATCGCCGGCGACGCGATGCCGCTTCAGACGCCGCTCCCGGGCTTGGAGGCGAGGCCAGAAGTGATCACCGCCGCGCTCCAGGGCGTCGAGATCGTCGACATGAACCCGCTGACGAACCCCGCGAAGGTGACGGACACGGAGCCGGAGGCGAGGGAGGAGGAGGTGGCGGCGCGCGTGGAGCGACGCATGGAGTTTTCCCGCGGACAAGCGAGCCTCGAGGAGAAGGGCCGGCGAGGTGCGTTCTATACACTGGTCCCCATACGACCGCGTCCGCGTGGTGAACGCCGATCCTTAAGGCGTTTGCCCGTCGCATCTCTCCGCCCACCCCACTTTCAATTCCCGCCCTCGACGCCTTTCAACTCCGCTTCTGACGCCTTTGAACTCCACCCCGACGTCGCTTTGTAGGTCCCAACGCGGCGAACGCGCGGCTGCTGCGGACGTACCTCAGCGAGTCCGCGATCGCGCTCTACCTCGACAGGTTCGCGCGCCTGTCGCAGAACTACGACCGCGCGGACTTGGAGTCCGTGGAGCGGGTGTGGGTGTTACGCGCCATCGACGAGCGGTGGCAGAGGCACCTCGTGGAGATGCAAGTGCTTCGAAACTCAGTCAACGTCCGCGCGTTCGGCCAGCTGGACCCGATGGAGGAGTACAGGATCGACGGCGCGCGGAGTTTCGTGGACATGGTGCGAGACATGCGACGCAAGACGCTCGCGCACGTGTTCTTCTTCGTCGGCAGCGCGGTGGAGCCCGTGATGGAGTTTGACGAGGAAGAGGTGGAGAAGAGACGCGCGGCGGAGGCGGCGGCGGAGGCGGCGGCGGTTCGCGCCGCCGCCGCCGCGGGCGGGACGCCCATCTCCGAGGCGTTCGCGAGGGACGACGACGCGCGATTGCGGGAGAGAGAGGAGGTGCTGCGGGCGAGGGAGAACGACGAGGTCGTCGCGAAGACGATGATCATGAGGAAGCCCGGCGAGGAGGAGGACGGCGGAGGGAAGGGTGGCGAGAGATAGATCGGGAGCCGCGGGGGTTCTGTATTTTCCTTTCTCCTTTTTTTTTCACAACGTCGTCTCGTCTCGTCTCGTGTCGTGTCGTGTCGTGTCGTGTCGAGTTCTGATGACGTGTCGCGTTCTCGTTCGTCGGTGGTGGTACACACGCGTCTCTTCGCGCGACGCGTTATCGTTCGTTGCAGTGTGGTCGTACTCGGGCGGACTCGCGCCTTCCGGTCGTCGGCTCGGTTTTTTTTTTTTTTTGGTTTTTTGGTTCTTCAATCCACGATGAGGAGCGGCCGGACGAACCCGCGCGGGGAGATCTGCTCGCGGCGCGCGAGGTCGACGCGGTACGACCCGCCGCCGAGCCACGACGGTCCGATGTCGCCCAGGTCGACGATCGTCTCGCACAGCCACGGCGACGAGCTCGCGCTGGGGGAGGGCGCCGGGGACGGAGCCCTATCGAGCGGCCCGCGCGGGCTCCCGGGCGCCTCCTTCTTCGCGAGCGACGCCTGCGCCTCCGCGAGGCGTATCTTGGTCGCGGACGCGTCCGCGTAGCGCACCCAGGCGCTGGTGTCGCGCCAGTACACCCCGGGCTTCGTCGGGACCGCGGCGCCGGGCTTGATCGGGCACATGTTCGAGGGAGGGAGAGCGAGGTGAGGTGGTTGGCGAGAGCGTGCGCGCGCGTGAGCGGGCGTGGACGTGTGTCGTGGTCGCGTCCGCGTTTCTCGGAACGTGTGTCGTGGTTCGTGATGACTAAAACGATAGAACGAGCCGAGAAAAAACGCTCGCTCGCTCGGCTCAACTCTTCCAGTGCGCCAACGGCAGCGCGGCGTCCTCCGAGAACACGTACGCCGTCTCGATGAACGCGCTCCGGTCCGGCTGCTCCGCGAACGCCACCGGAGGGTCCCCGTGGTGCGTCGTGACGTACCCACACGGCAGCAGCGCGACGAGGAGGACGTCCAACGCGGACGCCTGGCGACACTGCGACCCGCACGCGAAGTCGATCGCGGACCGCACGCTCCCGGCGAACCACGCTGCGACCGACAGGGGGATGGGGTGGAAGGAGGGGGGGGGGGGGGGTGACCGAGACGACGGCGGGTAAGTTGCGGTGGCTGGTTGTTCTGGTCGAAATATAATATGGTCGAATAGTGATATAATGCACGACGTACCGCCGTTACCGCTCGAGCGTCGCTTGCGCGGGTCGAACCCGTCGCGCATGATCGCCGTCGTGTTCTCCTTCGGCGTCGCGTGGAACCCTGAGGGTCGGTCCACACGAAGCGACGTCGGGGTGGAGTTGAAAGGCATCGCGATGCTTCGGGATCGAAAGCGAGGGGTGGGCGGATAGAAACACACGCGGGGGAAGTCCTCAGGAACGGCCGCGCCGACGCGGTCGTACGGGGCCCCATCTACCTGGGACGCGCCTAAGAACAACCTCGGCGTCTGCAGCGTGTGCCCGTCCGCGCGCAAGTGCGCTCTCAGGCGCACGATAAAGTTCCTGTGCGGAGAGGCGTCGGCGAGCAGACGCGAGCACCGGTCGTCCCACACCGTCGGGTTTAACGCGACGCCGCCGGTGCGCTTCCCGAAATATTTTTGCCCTTGCTTTATGAAGTGTCGCTCGTGCGCCGTGTAGAGACGCACGACGACCTCCTTGGGGAGGAGGTGTTCGCGCGGGAGGTTGCGAGGGGACGTCCGCTTCGGCGGCTTCGGCGCGCGCGTCTTCTTCTCGGGCGTCGCGTCGTCGTCGCCGCGAGTCGGGGACATGGTCGTCGTGGTCGAGCTGCACGTCGTCGTCGTCGTCGTCGTCGTCGTCGTCGTCGTCTTGGATAGCGCTCGACGAAGGCGCTTGACGCACTTCCACGCGATGCACGTCGGCGAAATCGCGACCGTGGGCGACGCCGCGAGCAACGAGAGCTCGACCCAGACGGCGCACGCGAGCAGCGTCTCGCGTCGCATGCACCGACGGCGCGCGGCCGGGAGTGGACGCGCGCGGCGTCCAGTCGTCGTGGATACCGAGAATAAAACCAACAACGACGACGACCGCGCGAGACGCGATTCACGAACTGAACGAAGCGCTGTTCGCGTTTTAGGGCACGACGCCGTCACTCAGCGCGGCGCGAACGCGGCGGGGACGGACGCGCGCGGCGCCCTCCCCCCCCCGCCCCCTCCGCGCCGCCGCTCCTCCTCCCCCCTCGGCGCGCGCCATGGACAGCGACAGCGAGGACTACGTCGTCGTCGGGACCCCGCTCGAGCACGAGGAGGAGCAGCGTCATCGACACAGGAAGCGGACGCAGGATCTCGCGACGACGCGCGCGCTCCCCGTGCACAAGCAGGAGGCGACGGACGCGGAAGGCCGTCGGCGGTTCCACGGCGCCTTCACCGGCGGGTTCAGCGCGGGGTACTACAACACCGTGGGAAGCAAGGAGGGATGGGCCCCGAGCGCGTTCCGGTCCTCAGCGGGCGATCGCGCGGGAGCCAAGAAGACGTCCACGGCTTTCGACTTCATGGACGAAGACGAGCGCGAGGAGCTCGCGGCGACGGCGCTGGAGGCGCGGCAGGATTACGACACGTTCGGCGCGACGGCGGCGATGAACGCGCGACGCGCGATGTCCGCCGCGGAGGCGACCGCGTCCGGCGCGGGCGGCGGAGGAGGAAGGAGCCCGATCATCCCGGGCGTCGTCCCCGCGGATCTCGTCATCTCGATCGCCGATCCCGTCGGGATGCGTCTGCTGACGTTGATGGGGTGGAGGAGAGGGAAGGGCATCGGGCGCCGCGGCGACGGCGACGGTTCATCTTCCGACGACGACGGCCACGCCGACGACGACGACGACGGACGCGATCCGTCGCGGGCGCGGCGGCGGCGGAAGTGGGGCGCGCTCCCAACTGCGCTCGCGGACGACGCGCCCGCCTACGTCCTCCACCCGAAGTTGAACGTCCACGGCGTCGGTTACGACCCGTTCGAGGGCGCGGAGGAGTTTCGCAAAGTCGCGGAGATTCGCAGGAAAAACGCGGCGAGAGACCCGCGCGGTCTCGGCGACGTCAAGCCCTCGCGCGGCGAGGCGTTCGGCGTCGGCGTGTTCGAAGGCGACGACCCGGACGAGGACGTGTACCGGAGTAAGACGATCGGCGGCGACGTCATCGGACACGCGTACGAAGTCGTCTCCGACGAGGACAGCGACGACGACGAGCGCGCGCGGTTCCCGGACGGCGCGGGCGGAAACGGCGGGCTTCGAACCGGCGGCGCGCCCTTGGGGTTGCTCGGGCGAGCGCCAGCGGGGGAGGGGCGGCGGGGCGAGGCGCGGCGGCTGCTGCTCGGGACGACGGATCGGAGAGGGGACGACGGATCGGAGAGGGGACGCGACCGAGATCGAGATCGCGATCGCGACCGCGACCGCGACCGCGACCGCGTCGTGTCTCGCGCGACGGTTCTCGTGCGCGGGTTCGCGCTCTCGTCGCACACGCTCGCGCCCGCGAAGTGGTACCCTCCCCCGACCGTGCCTCGGACGTTCAAGCCGTTCCACCGGTTCCCGCCCGGGAGCGCGCCGCCGCCGGTGCCGGGTCAGCGGTTGACTCCGAGCCAACCCCAACCGGCGCTCCCCCCGAGGTCGCCGCCGCCTCCGCCGCCCGCGGACGACGCGCGGAAGAAGTTTATCGACACGACGGCGCGGTTCATCGCGAAGAACGGGCCCGCGTTCGAGGCGATGGCGAAGGAACGGCAGAAGCACGACCCGAAGTTTGACTTTCTGTTCGGGCTCGGCGACGACGTGAAGTACTACGCGCATAAGCTCGCGGAGAGCAAGCGAGAGGTCACCGACGGCGCCGAGGGCGTGAGCGAATGGGGCGTCGGCGTCGACGCCGTCGCGCCGCCGCGGTCGCGCCCGCTGGACGCGGAAGACCGGAGTAAGATGCTCGGGGAGACGCCGCTGCCGAGTCGTAAGACATCGGAAACGGACGCTCATCGGCCGTTATCCACCGCGCCGCCGCCGGGTTTCGTCCCGGACGACGAAGCGGCGCCGGGGCCGGCGCGACCGAAGGAGCCGAACACGATCGAAGTGAAGAAGATCGCCGCGGGGGACCGGACGCGGATACAAGAGACGTTATCCAACACGTTCACGTCCGGGACAGCGCAAGACATGGGGCACGGCTCGAAGGCGTTGAAGCCCGGGTTACGGATGATGTCCAACTTCGTCAGCGGCGGGACGGTGTTGGACGCGAAGGAGGAGCGAGAGAAGGAAGAGCGAGCGAAACTCGCGCCGATTCGCCCGACGCGAACGACGGAGGACTGGGCCCCGGAGTCGTTGCTGTGTAAACGTTTCGGCGTGAACGATCCGTTCGACGGCATGGCGAAGCCGGGGACGGAGGTGAAGTTTAAGACGGACAGCATCGTCCTCACGGACACGATCGCGGCCGAGAACGACGCGGCGCCGAAGTTTTTGAACGCGGCGCCGCCGCCGCCGCCGCCGACATCGGGAGAGGCCGCCGCCGCCGTCGCGAAAGCGCCGCCGTCGCCGCCGCCGCCGCCGCCGGCGGGCGCGGGGCTCGTCCCGCCGCCGCCCGTCGGCGCGGGGCTCGTCCCTCCTCCGCCCGTCGGCGCGGGGCTCGTCCCGCCGCCTCCGCTGCCGAAGAGTGCGGGCGGCGTTCGAGCGTTCAGCACCGGCGCGTGGGGGGCCAAGCCGGGGACCGCGCCGCCGCCGCCGCCGCCGGGGGCGAACGCGTCGTCGTCCGGCTCGATGCCGCCGCCGCCGCCGCCGCCGCCGCCGCTGCCGCTGCCGCCCGGAGCGAACGTCGTCGTGGAGGTCCCACCGCCGCCGCCGCCGTTCGTGGAGCGCCCGATGGATCTGTTCAAAGCGATCTTCGAGGCGGAGGAGGAGTTTGAGCGCGAGGAGCGCGAGGCGCGCGCGAGAGAGGAGGAGGAGGCGCGAGCGCGCGAGCGGCTCGAAAAAGCCGAGCGGAGGCGGGAAGAGGAAAGCGCGCGAGCGACGAAGCTCGACGCGCCGCGGCGGTACACGACGTACGAGGAAGTACTCGCCGCCGCGCGCGACGCGCCGACGCCGCAGCCGGTACCAGTAGAGGACGACGACGACGCGCGCGCGCCGAGGAGAAGCGGCGGGAAGCGCGCGGCGACGGAGGATCTCGAGGGGAAAAAATCTTCGAGCAAAAAACACAAGAAGGATTCCAAGAAGCACAAGAAGGACTCCAAGAAGAAGCACAAGAAGGACTCGAAGAAGAAGCGCAAGAAGGCGAAGAGGAGTCGCCGCGAGGACTCGGCGAGCGACAGCGATAGCAGCAGTAGTTCTTAGCGCACGCACGCACATACGTAGTTCATAACACATCATCATCGTCGTCGTCGCCGCGCTGCGTCGTTCTCGCGTCGCGTCCGTCGTTTTTCGTTCGCGTCGTCCTTCATCCGCGTCCATCTCCTCTCTCTCACTCCGACTCCGACGACTCTACCATCCTGGTCCACCACGCCATCGCGGTCGTCTTCATCGCTTCGAACTCATCAGAATCGATGACGTTGCTCTCGCGTAATTCATCCAGGCGCTCCACCGTCGACGCGAACGCGCGCGTGATGCTCTGCAGCGTGTGTACCTTCGAGGACTCGTCGGGCGACGCGGCCGTCGTGCGCAGGGAAGCGACGGCCGCCGCCGCCGCGACGCGCGGAGGAGAACGCGCGGGCGCAGATTTCGGCGGCGGCGTCGTGCACGCCGAAGCGCGAACACGCAGCCGGGGTGCCGGCGCGTCGAGGAGGTTGTCCCGCAGCACATCCATCAGCGGTTGCCGATGTTTGTCGGTCGCGGCGGCGGCGCCGGGCGACTTCGCCGACGTCTTCGTCCGCTTCTCCTGAATCATCTGCGTCTTCTTCGCCGTCTTCTTCGCCCGCCTATGCAGGATCCCCGGCTCGCGCGACGGCCGCACCTCGTCGGCCCACGCGTTCGGGTCGTAGCTCGACGGCGACGCGCGCTTCCTTTGAGTCACGTTTTTCATCAGACGCGACTCGACGCCGCGCGACCGCGCGTCGTCCGCGACGTCGTCCTCGTCCGGGATCTCCTGCGTCGGCGTCACGTCCGCGAACGCGAAGACGTCGGGCGGCGGCTCGACCTTCTTCGGCGACTCGGGCATGTCGAAGTCGAATTTCGTCGGCGACTCGGGCATGTCGAAGTCGAATTTCGTCGGCGACTCGGGCACGTCGTCGACGTCCTCCTCTTTCTTCGGCGACTCACGCGACTCGATCCTCTCCACCTGCTCCACCGGGCTCGGGAACGTCACAGCGCGCGCCGCGGCGACGCGCGAGGTCTTGTACGCGTCCTGGACGCCGTCCCTCTCCTTCTTCGCGCTCGTCGCGCGCTTCTTCGCCCAGAACGCGGCGCGTCGTCGCTCGGGTCCGTCGAGAAAGCCGAAGGGCGCGTCGTCGTCGTCGTCGTCGTCGTCGTCGTCGTCCGTCGACGTGAAGCCGTCGTCGTAGTCGTCGTCGCCGCCGCCGCCGCCGACTTCGAGATCCGGGAACCACGTCATTCCTCCATTCGCCTCGAAGCTCGCGACCGCCTCGCGTCGGCGTCTGACCGCGGCGTCCCTGTCCTCCTGCTTCGACGCCCACTCCGCGGCGCGTTTGAAAAGCCCCTCGTCGCGTTGCTCCGCGACGGGCCGGCGCTCGGGGCTCGGGCTCTTGCTCACGGGCGCGGGCGGCGCGTCGTGCTCCATGCGCGTCAGCGTCGTCGCGGCCTCATTGACGCTCGGCGACGGCGACGGCGACGGCGACGTCTCTTCGATGATCATGACGAGCGGGGCGGAGAGGCGCGCGCGGGGGGGAGTAGGGCGTTCACAGCTGGCAACTCAACGACGGCACTGATGACAACCGACCGCGGCGGCCTGTCGGGAGTGCCGTCTCCGCCGCCCGGAGACGCATAGGGCGTCCGCGCGTCGTCGATCCTTCGGAGGATGGGCCTCGCCGAGACGCTTCGACGCGGCCTGGAGAGGCTCGCGGAGCGATGCCCGGACGCGCCGGGGTCGTCGCGGGCGTGCGATGCGGTCTTCGCGCGCGGGAAGCCGCCGTCGAACGCGCGGCGAGGGAAGAAACGCGCCGCCGACGACGACGACCACGACGCCGCGACGCGATGGCATCTGAAGCGCGGCGTCAAGGAGGACGCCTTGCTCGCGGCCGCGGGGTCGCTGCTGTTAGATCCGACGTACGCGGTCGCCGCGGGCGGCTGCCTGCGGCCCGTCGCGCTGCACGCGCTGGCGCACGGCCTCGACGCGTCGCGCGCGCGCGCGACGACGACGACGACGAAGACGAAGAATGACGGCGGCGGCGGATCGGAGGGCGGCGACGACGACGCCGCCGCGACCGCGCACGAGCGCGCGTGCGCCGCGCTCGGGATGCTCCTCGAGCTCATGCCGCACGCGCGGCCGATCGCGATGGCGTACCTGCGCGTCACGCCGCCGCCGTTCGCGCGCGTCGTGCGCGCGACCGGCGCCGGCGCCGGCGCGGCGGCGTCGACGACGATGCCGCGCGAGCACGCGCTCGTCGTCGTGCGCGGATGCGTCCGCCTCCTCCGCGCCCTGAGCGACGCGCTGATGGAGTCGCCGTCCACGACGACGCGCCAGTCCGCCGACGACGCGGACGGGGGCGGCGACGACGGCGGCGGCGACGCGAACGCGGCCCTGCGGTGGGACTGCGCGCCGCTGGCGCGGCTCCTTCGTCGAGACGCGGGGTGGGACGCGGAGATTCGCTGGACCGCGGCAATGGTGCTGGCGCGGACGCTGCATCTCCCCGACGACGTCGCCGCGACGCTGCGCGCGCGGCAAGCGATCGACGCGGATGAGCGACACGCGTTCACGGAGCGGTGGGAGGAGGAGGAGACGGCCATCGCGCTCGAGCGCGCGGGCGCGTACTTGAACCCGGGCCCGCGCCCAGGAGGCGGCGGACGAATGGAGATGGATTCATCATTCGCGGCGTTCGCGGAGGCGCCGCCGACGGGGTGGGACCTCCCCGCGGCGCCGGGGCACGTGCGCATCGGCGGCGTGGAGATCGAGACGCGCGACCGCGACCGCGACCGCGATCGCCCCGGGGAGAGCAGCGGGCGAGCGCGAGGGGGGTCAGCGCGAGGGCCCCCGATGGTGCGCACGCGCGGCGCGAGGAAAAACCTCGAAGCCGTCGCGCTCGCGCTCTGCCGCGGGAAACCGCTCCTCCTGGAAGGCCCCGCGGGCGTCGGCAAGTCCGCGACGCTGGAGGAGGTGGCGCGCCTGACGGGGAACGACGACTTCGTGACGCTGCACCTGGACGCGCAGACGGACAGCAAGTCGCTGTTGGGGTCCTACGTCGTGGGCGCGGCGCCCGGGGAGTTTGAATGGCGGCCCGGCGCGTTGACGCGCGCCGTCGCGGACGGGACCTGGGTCGTCATCGAAGACGTCGACCTCGCGCCGTTCGAGGTGCTCGCCGCGCTCGTGCCGCTGCTCGAGGAGCGGCGGCTTTACATCCCGGGACGAGGCGAGAGCGTCGTCGCCGCGGGCGGGTTTCAGTTGTTCGGGACGACGACGACGGGCGGCGGCAGAGCCGGCGGGGGCGCCGCGGCGAACGCGCGCGCGGATCCGCTCGCGGGGTTGTGGTCGCGCGTCGCGCTGGAGCCGCCGCGGGGCGACGAGCCGATGGAGATTCTGCGCGGGATGCATCCGAAGCTGACGCCGCTCGCGCACGGGATGCTCCGGACGTTGAACGTCGCGCAGAGGATGTGCGGGCAGGGGGGGGGCGCGGCGGCGCCGGGAGGCGACGCCGCCGCCGACGAGGACGCGATGGAGGAAGACGACGCCGCGACCGCGACCGCGACCGCGCGGCCGCCCTCGCTCGTCCAGGGCGTCGACGTCGGAAACGTCGGCGACGTCCGCGCGCACGCGGGCAGGCCGTTCACGCTCCGCGACCTCCTTCGATGGGCGAGGCGACTCGAGCGCACGCGTCAGAGCGAGCTGTCGCTGCTGCGCGAAGGCAAGTCCGCGCGCGACGCGCTGCCGCCGAAAGTCAAGTTGGCGGCGTACGAAGAAGCCGTGGACGTCCTCGCCGGGATGCTGCCGTCCGGGCCCGGGAGGCGGAGGGTCATCGAGGCCATCGCGGCGTGCTGGGACCTCAACGCGACCGCCGCGGAGAACACGGACGCGCTCCGCAAGCCGTCGCTCGTCCCCGGGACGGGCTCCGTCGCCGTCGGCCGCGCGATTCTTCCCGCGGAAACGGCCGCGTGCGCGGCGTTAGGAAGCGGACAGGGAGGAGGTACTACCGGCGGATGGGCGAGGACCGGGCACGCGATGCGACTCCTAGAGCGCGTCGCCGCCGCCGTAGCGGTGACCGAACCGGTGTTACTCGTCGGCGAAACCGGCACCGGGAAAACCGCGCTCGTCCAACAGCTGGCGCGCGTCGTCGGCGCACAGCTGTGCGTCGTGAACCTGTCGAACCAGTCCGAGTCCGCGGACTTCCTCGGCGGGTTCCGACCCGCGGGCGCGCGGCACCTGTGCCTGCCGCTCCTGCCGCGGTTCCGAGTGGTGTTCGAGGAGACGTTTCCGTCGGTGGCGAACCGAGAGTTTATGACGCGCGTCGAGCGGTACGCCGAGCGAAGGAAGTGGACGCATCTGCTGCACGCGTTTCGCGCGGGGGTGGAGCGAGTCGCGAAGCTCGCGTCCGAGGCGGAGGAGGAGCGCGTCGCGTCCACCGCGGCGGTCATCGCGGAGGCGGAAGCGGAGGCGGTCATCGCGGAGGCGGACGAGAAGACCGCAGCAGCGAAGGGCCCAGGGGGGAGAGGGAAGAGCAAGCGCAAGACGCGGGGGGGAGGAGGGAAAACGTCGAAAGAGGCGAAAGAGCCGGAGAGGACGACGACGACGACGGAAGAAACGACGCCGCCGCCGCCGCCGCCGCCACCCGGACCCGGGAAGAAACGCCGCCGCGCGCTGTCCGACGCGCTCGTGCACGCGTGGAAGCAGTTCGAACGCGACCTCTCCACCGCGGAGCGCGCGTGCGGCGGCGGCGGCGGCGGCCCCGTGTTCGCGTTCGTCGAGGGCGCCCTCGTCGCGGCGCTGCGAGACGGCGCGTGGATTCTGCTGGACGAAATCAACCTCGCCCCCGCGGAGACATTAGAGCGCCTCGGCGGCGTGTTAGAGTCCGCGCGAGGGAGCGTGGTGCTCTCCGAGCGCGGCGACGGCGCCGCGGTCCCACGGCACCCGCGGTTTCGAATCTTCGGCGCGATGAACCCCGCGACGGATGTCGGGAAGCGCGACCTCCCGGCGGCGTTGAAGCACCGATTCACGGAGATATACGCGGGCGAGTGCGAAGGACGGGAGGATCTCGCGCTGCTCGTGTCGCAGGGGGTCGCGTCCGTGCCCAACGCGCCGGTGCACGCGATCGTGGACTTTTACCTCGCCGCGAGAGCGGACGCGGCGAGCGTTTTGCTCGACAGCGCGGATCAAAAGCCGCAGTATTCGCTTCGCACGCTGAGCCGAGCGTTGGAATACGTTCGAACCGCGGCGCCGTTGTACGGCGTGCAACGCGCGCTGTACGACGGTTTCGCGATGTCATTTCAGACGTTACTGAAGCACGACTCCGCTCTCGTGCTCGAGAGGCTCATGGTGCAGCATCTGTTGAAGGGGACGCCGCTGAAGGTGCGCGCGTCGCGTCCGTCGCGCGACCGACCGAGGGTTTCGTTTCTTTTCTTTTTTTTTTTCTCCGCGCCCGCCCGCCCCCCCGTTCGTCTCTTTTCCCTCCCTCCCCGCTCCACCGCTCCAGCCCTTGGCGCCCTTTACCCGTGGGCGCGTCTCGGTCCTGACGCGGTGGAAGAGCCGACCGTCGGAGCCCATACCTATTCTCGCCGTGACGTCACTGAAAAGTGACGACCGTGAACGATCGAGAAGAGCGGCTCCGCACACCGCGCGCGTTCTCTTCGTCGAGCCCCTTACCCCGCCGCCGCCGCCGCAAACGCCGCAAACGCTCACCTCTTCGCTCCCTCCGCCGCCGCGCCGTCTCGTCTCTCTCGCGCGTCTCGTCTCCTCTCGCAGGCGATATTCAAAGCCCCGCCCGCGCCGCCCGACGACACCCACGAGCTCATCGAGCAGTACTGGGTCGAGGCTGGCGACCTCGAGCGCGAGGACCCTGAGGCGGCGGGTCGATACGTCGTCACCCCGGGGGTGCGGACGCACCTGTCGTCGCTCGCGCGCGCGGCGTTGCTGCGCCGGCACCCGATCTTGTTGCAAGGGCCGACGTCGAGCGGGAAGACCAGTCTCGTGCAGTACCTCGCGGAGCGGACCGGGCATCGGTTCATGCGGATAAACAACCACGAGCACACGGACTTGCAGGAGTACCTGGGGTCTTACGTCACGGACGAGAACGGTGCGACGCGGGAGGGTGTCGGAACTGTCTCTCTCTTCTCTCTCCGTCTTCGCGACCCGCCCGCGCCCGACCCGACCACGCGGCGACTGTTCGTTACTCATACGCCCTAACTCCGTGGGCGATACCGAGCTGGAAGCTTGCCGCAGAGCACACTCTCTGGTTGTGACCGCACGTGCCGGCGTCTCGCCGACGCGCGGAGGAACCGGAGGGGACATTCGACGCGTCCGTCGGTTTTTCGATTCGATTCGATTTTTTTCCATCCGCCTCCGCTTCCGCCGCCTCGACCGACCGACCGACCGAACCGTCCGCCAGAACGACGCCGACGCGCGCGCTCACCACTAATGCATC